TGTAATTGATGCCGTGACATCTTTCGCAACCTCCGAACGACACAAATTCGGTGCTGGATCTTAGCACCGCAAAACACCAACATACGCGCATTGATGCCCAACATGCTGCTAGTGACGCCTGATGTACCTTTCGTCGTGGTCATTGGAGCCTGACGTTGAACTCAGCTGCTCAGACTATATGGCGTCAGCTGCCTCCCGCCCTGGCAAGAAGGACCGGCACAGCGAGAGTCGAACCCGGTACCTCTGGTTTCTCAGACGTGCAGTGGCTCACGCAACCGCGTTAGTTAACCACCACATTACCGGTACCTGGCGCATCTTGCGAGTCATGGAGATTTCTTGGCAAACTGGACGCTGCAGGAGACGGCACAGGTTAAAGGGGCTGCACGAGTTTCTATCCTGAAATGGAGTGCAGTGCTATAGATTTGGTTCATCTGCAAGTAATTTATCGCTACTACAATCACTAATTCACTATCAATCTAATCACTAGTAACTGTCCGTGAAATCAGTTCTCATTGGGGCACCGTCGCTGCTCGTGAAATCCGCTGTTTTGGTAGAGGCGTACGCCATACTGTCTCTCAGGGTCACGAGGTCCGCACTTCTCACATTTGTTACATGCATTAATAGGTACGCGAATACATCCCAACAACCTGGATTTGGAGATCGAGTACTAAATTTGAACAAATAAAAAACATGTGATGAAGCTTTTTGCTATGCCAGAAATTTCGCTGTCCAGCAGCACGATAATCTAGGCCTTTGATGAAACTTTTTGAGTACACCCCCCCCCCCCACACACACACACTGCGAATGCCACCGTTCGCCGCTGCTGGTAATGTACAGCGTCGAAGTACTCAGCTTTCATTACGTGTCGTAGATAATTGACAATTAATCAAGGCTATTGTTTGATGTCAAAGACCGAATCACTCAATTTAATCATCTCTTAAAAAGCAAATTTCATATTCTGTGCGTTCAACGGTCGATTGGTAGAAAAAGGTGTCTTTGTAATACGACAATAAAAAATGTGTACATCGGACGGACACGGCCAGGGAAATGTGGTGTACGAATTAGGAAATGAGCGCGGGGCTCAGTTATGGACAGCTGCTGAAAGTAAGTTTCACGTCATATTTGCAACATTTTTTGCGGGGATATCATGAAGGACTTAGGTCATTCCTGCACTCGAGAGCTTCTCACTATAACATTACAAATTTTTGCGTGTCTTACGACCCTAGGCGTGCTCAGCGTAATGCATCGTTTATCCGCTCAGCAGTTACAATGTTCGTTTGGTAGTGCGAGCAACCACGATTTTTTAATACGAGACAGAGGAAGAGTTTTAGTCTTGGTAGGCACAGAACTGTATACTAGAAACTTGCGTTTCTGTCAGGAGATAAACATCCGACTACATTAACGAATCCAGCTACCGGGTTTTGGGGACCAAGCATTACGGCCAAATTACACAACCTACCCCAATGTTCGTCTGTCCCGGGATTAGGGTCTTACGCCTACGTGTGTAGTGCATTTTGCGTCCGCATTTGCTCTGGCTGCTGTGTAGTGTATTTTACATTCGTATTCACCTTGGCCGCTGTGTAGTGTATTTGATATTCGCATTTGCCCTGGCCGCTGACTCCTGAGATAAGTCAATGAAAACGCCCCAACATAGACAGGTCCGTGACTTACAAGCAAAAGCACGTGACTATCTGGACATATCCACTTGCGTTTGGTTAGTATATGCTGGTTCGTTCTGCCCTCCGTCAGAATCCGTTACCGTCACGTCACCGCGACTTTATATGTCATCGGCATCTAAGTCCGGTTACACCGCCTTTCAAGTTTTTCGCAGTGTGAAAATTTTTATGTTCTCTACTACTCGAACGGGAAAGTGAACTTCTGGGGATGCTACAATTATTTAGGAGAAACGCACCTGATCAAACAAGTTGCATGTAGATATGGAAAAATTTGAGCGATAGAAATGCTGAGGACTTGCGCTTCATGTTGTCAGCCTGCATGATCTTGTGATCAGCGTTTGCAAATACCTAAAAAGGTCTGGAAAGCCTGATGACCGTGCTGGTCTTTCATGCCTTATCATAGTTTATGTTTATCATCATAATCGTACCATTTTTTATTATATAAGCTATAAGTTCACACCTTTATTATTTATCATAGTTCGACATCTTATCATAGTTCAAGCAAAACTCGCCAATGAAGGCTCCGTCGTAACAATTCACGATCGCGATAACAACAGGGATGAGTATTGACCGATGTGACGTCACTATGACCTGAAGGACCTGACCAAGATAGCTGAGTTGTATGTGATATTACCACTGAAGCTGAGTTGTATGTGATATTACCTGCGGAGTTTGCGCTTCTGACGACTGTCGTCGCCGGGCTTGCGCTTCTGACGACTATCGGGGTCAGTCTTGCGCTTCTGATGACTATAGGGACCAGGCTTGGGCTTCTGACGACTTTCGGGACCAGGCGTGCTCTTCTGACGATTATCGTAGACAGGCTTGCGCTTCTAATGACTATCGGGGCCAGGCTTGCGCCTCTGACGACTATCAAGACCAGGCTTGCGCCTCTGACGACTGCCGGGACCAGTCTTGCGCTTCTGACGTCTATCGTAGACAGGCTTGCACTTCTGACAACTATAGTAGACAGGCTTGCACTTCTGACGACTATCGGGGCCAGTCTTGCGCTTCTGACAACCATCGTAGACAGGCTTGCACTTCTGACGACCATCGGGTCCAGTCTTGCGCTTTTGACGACTAGCAAGGTCAAGCGCCGGTCGATATTCGGCCTTTTGCGAGACGAGTTGTGCACTATTCATTGTATTGCACGACCTACATGACATGGCAGCGTTCGTCACATATTCCAAGCATACGTGAAGTTTTTTACACTAATTATTGCATGACGACCATGACAGGCCTTAAGAATATTTTTGGCCAACTTCAGTTATTTACTGGGGTGCATGAGACACAGTTAAGTGAATAGAGCATGTGTTGGAAACACGGCTCAAGCCAGAGGCGGTATGCGGCGGGTAGTGTTAGCTTTCCGAAGATGCAATTGACGTGAGCCTAGTGAAGCGATGGCTGTGTTGGCCCTGTCGTGTACGCCAGCCCTTTTTTGTCGATGGATCTTTGGCGTTTGCAAACAATGGCTCTAATGCAAAAGGCACATGCCAGCTTACCTGCCTAACGTTTTTGCGTCAGACCAAGTTAGTTTTTCCCCGCCGGGGCTGATCCGTACCACCGCATGCCTGCTTCGCCGTGTGTTTTTCTCGTTCGCCGGAAAAAGGACGATGATCCGCTGCCTAGTTTTTTTCCAGATAAAGGTGAGGGCGTTTGGCGCGGCTGTCCTCCGATGCCATTGTTCCTTATACCTTCCGAAGTCTGTCGCGGTCCTGCCGCGCGACTTGGTGCAGTGAAGGCCCCTGCTGTTTTTAAACAAAGCTATAGGCCATTGTGATATATTCATGAGTTTAGATTCCGACATCACGATAGAACCTGAACCAGTCTGTCATCATCTCTCTCCGGCTCCCGCAGCAACTCATGCAGAAATTCAGCATAGTATTCATAGAACAAAAATCTTCCGCTAAGATTTCACGGGAGAGTTGACTCAGTTACTTTGGAGAAGGCTCCTTACCGTGCCTACCGTCCAGGTCGCCACCTGTTGGTTTCGTAGTTTCCAAGAACCTAACAGCATGACTTTAAACGTGTTAAACAGCGTTTTAAATGCTTCAGTAAACCCTAAAAAGTTTGCAGTATCTACTACGTCCATCAATCCTCAATGATCTGCTCAACCAGTCAACGATCAGTTAACAATCCCCATGGAACAGCGCCTCCTCATCCTCTTCCCTGGCTGCATCATTGTAATAACCTTTCGCTGCAATATTAGGAATGTGCTTTTGCTATAGTGTTGCAACGCCGTCTGGCCCCCAGATAGCGCTAGATCGCAGCGTTAGAGCATCAGACATCGACAATGGGCCGACGGTATGTTACAGCTCTGAGTTTAGGCTTAACAATGCGAGCCTATTGTTATCACGGGCTGTCCTATAGTACTTCCTTCATTAGTTAAGCGCTGCCTACAATACGCAGCTTTTGCACGCGTTTGATGTGCACCATTTAAGTTCTAGATGTAGATGATGTTCGATATAATTATAGATGTAATGTTTTAGACTGGGACGTGTGGCACGTTGGTGTCGTGATGTGCATATCATTCGATGGTATTACTGCAGTGGGTATTTCTGTGAGCATATTGGCGCAAACCAACCCAGAGTTTCCGTGGTTGATTGGTGTTCAGTAAGCATATCCGAACTCCCCGGGTATGATATGCCACTGGCAAAGGATGTGTTTACGCTATTTTTATTCAAGCTTAACATCATTTAGCTCGCAAGTTCATTGACAAACCTGCTCGAGCTCGTGCAGTTCATAGACGGTTCTAAATGCTTGGGCAAAGTCCGACTCCATACTTGTTTGTGTGATCTGGGAGCCCGCCTAGCGACGGTCGATGCAGTCGACCGTCGAAATTGCAGCCAGTCGTAGAAGTTGATGACAAAAAGTTATACCCTGCTGGTAGAAGTTGTTGATGACATGTTATACCCTACTAGAATAGCACCCAACCAAAAGACAGGCTCAGCCTCAGTCAGTCAGTCTTACTGTCTGATCAGCAGAATGCTGCCCCATTCGCACAGCGTTGACATCCGATCCCCCGAACGTGATTGTGTTCCCACACAATGAATGTCATGCATTCATTGTGTGGGAACACAATGAATGGCCACACATTCATTGTGTGGCCATTCATTCATTCATTCAACGACACATTCGTTGTGTTCCAACCAATGAATGGCTGCCTCACCCTGCCGTACATTTCCTACTATCGAGCCGATGTGCCTGACCTAGTCTCCATCAACCGGCTGCGACCGTCCCATCCCACAGACCGTTGTCTCCCGCCCGCCCCACCAGCAGACCATTGTCTCTCATGCTGTTCCACTAACAGACTGCTGTCTCTCGCAGTGGCCCTGTTTCGTAAGGGCGTTCGAGCAGTCCAAATGGTGGGACGTGCAAGTACGTAGTGGTTTGTTGGGCCGTGTGCGGCGGTGGTTCCATCGTGCTTGGCGGCTGACTTGGCACCGCATGGCCTCTCTCTCTCTCTCTCTCTCTCTTTCTCTCCTCTCTCTCTCCCTCTGGCTGGCTCTGCGTAGTTTGCGCGCCCAGTGCAAGCTGGCACCGCCTGGCCGAGCGGCCACCGTTTGCTGATGCGTGTGTATGCGCATAGAAACCATGTACACACACCCACACGCACACACATATACACGCAACACACACATGCGCGCGCGCACGCCCGCGCCCGCGTGGACGCGTGCGCTCTCATCACCAAACCTCATTGATGCCGTTGCCCCATGCCTCATTCACGCATTCATGCCACGCAGGTGTCTCATTAACACTGTCTCGGTCTCAGCTGGTGTCCTTTTCACACTGTCGGCCTTAGGCAATGTCTAATTCACAACGGCTCGATCCCAGCTGGTGTCATAGTCACACTGTTAGCCTCAGTTGGTGTCTAGTACACGCCGTTTTGGTCTCAGCTGGTGTCTTATTCACACCGTCGGTCTTGGTTTGTGTCTAATTCACACCGTAGCGGTACCAACTGGTGTCTTGTTCACACTGTCGCGCTTAGTTGGTGTCTAAATTACACTGTCTCGGTATCAGTTGGTGTCTTGTTCACGCTCTCGCCCTCAGTTGGTGTCTCATTCACACCGTCTTGGTCCCAGCTGGTGTCTATTTACACCGTCTGCCTTAGTTGGTGTCTCATTTACACTATCGGCCTTAGTTTGTGTCTAAATAACACTGTCCCGGTCCCATCTGGTGTCTTATTTACACTGTCTGCCATAGTTGGTGTCTTGTTTGTACTATCGGTCTTAGCTGGCGTCTAATTCACACCGTCTCGGTCCCAGCTGGTGTCCTATTCATACTGTCTGCCTTAGTGTTTCATTCACAGCGTGTGCCCCAGGTGTTGTCTCATTCACACCATCTTGGTCTCAGACGACGCCTCATCCAGATGCGAGACGCGTCTCGGTCTCAGATGGTGTCTCAGTCATACTGTGGCCCCAGCTGGCGTTAAGAAAAGACTTTACGTGCCTGTACTGATTCCATTTGGATGCATACGACTATTCCAAACGCCAAGCCTAGACAATGTCGGGTGAGAGTTCATAGCTTTTGACGCCGAATCCCCATGAAGCTCGGCGTATGGCGTGTTACTGACATCAAACACCGGGGCAGCGCCGCTACCGATGAATGGATAATGGGCATTGACAAATACTGGACGCATGACTATGTGCTTTGTGCATTTTTTAGCTTCACCTTGGTTCGACCGGCATCATACTTTTATTTGGTAGGCATACCCGATGAATTGATTTAAAACCAACCAGCCCTTGTTGAATGGGAAGGATACACTTCAATTTAAAAGAAACACCATATGCGAGTGTCATATAGCAAAGACAGCGAACAGCATAAGTGAAGTTGACAAAAACATACAATATGTTTAAAGGCAAATACTATGTTACCATTGCGTGCTTGGATGATTGCAAGCCCATGTATCTGCAGCCAAATGGTTGGCGTAATCGGATGTGTCTCGCGACAACCGTGTGGTTGTTGGCAGCGCTTGTCTCTTTGACTACTTGATAAGCGGCAATCAGGGAATGCACCTGGTCTATAACTGTTGCTTTTTCTGTGCTTCATCGTTGAGTGCTTGTAGTCTGACAAATGCAGAAGGAGGTAATGAAAGTATGTCAGACCACGATGACGGAAAGCTAACTATTGGCGAAGACTGTTATTGACAGGAATAATTCTAAAATGTGGAGTGGTCGAAAGCAAAGATCTCGACAACAAAATGCTCACATGGTGGAATGGAAGCAACTGCACCGAACCAATATCTTGAGTTGTTATGCCGAAAGAAACCAACTGGGAATAAGCCAGAAGGTACTGGTAAACACGAATAATATTGTCAGGCAATCAGAGAAAAGAGAAAGGAATAGAGAGAGAGATAGAGAGAGAGATAGATATAGATAATATAATATATATATATATAAAATATATATATATACTATGTTGTGTGTGTGTGTGTGTGTGTGTGTTGTGTGTGTGTGTTGTGTGTGTGTTGTGTGTTGTGTGTGTGTGTGTGTGTGTGTTGTGTGTGTGTGTTGTGTGTGTGTGTGTGTGTGTGTGTGGTTTGTGTATTATATATATTATTTTTCCTCTTCTTAAACTCTAACGTTGACAACATGATTCAACTCAGATTTTCATTTTCTTCATTTCCATGTTTGGTGAGAAAAGCGAATGCTTCACGTTGCAACGCAGTTCTCATGGTCCTTCACATACATGACCTCTGCTTTGAACGGCTCGTATTGTCATAAGATATCCTAGCAACTTCTCGATATCTTTGCTTAACCAGTACCGGCTGTCATTTTGAAGGGCAGTTTTTCTCAACATGACTTCTCATAACGCCAGCAAGAGAAGCTAAACGGAAGTATTTTTAGGTTTCTTTTTCTGACGGGACGATTTCATTTAGCAAATGAATTGCTTGGACACCACCTTGGACAGCATGGTGTCTGAATTAGCCCATCATGAGCACGTTCCAAAGCATTCTGGCATGACGGATCCTTGACGTCGTTCGCGGCTTTAGGAATGCCTTGCTTATATCAGGGATAAATGTGGATATGAAGACTCATGGAAATTGAATGGCTTTCCTGCGAAACATTGACAGTGCGGTATGAGCTCGGCTGGAATAAACATATAAACTGAAGGGAGTGGAAAGTAAGAGGCCACACACACACAAATGAAGGGGATATAGCTCATTCATTCCATAATGTAAGTGACCAAGCGCAAAATTGTGTGCGCAATGCACGTGAGCTTTAAGCGCTGGTTGCGTTTGGCAAACACCGAGCGGCTAATGCCTTACTCCCTTTATAGCTTACGCGCATGCATTGGCTCGCGTCGTGGCGTGCCAGTATTGTCGGGGCAGTTAAGCTGGAGTATTATATATTGTGTCCCTTTAGCTTGCATTAGACAGGTTAGGATGAGTTATGAGCGGGCTTAGCGTAAACCTTGGAGGCCTCAGTTTCAGATGCCGCGAAAATGTCCCGAAAGCCAAATCTAGAAAAACGGGCTTGGTCTTTTCACTGTTTTATGTCTGTGGGGAGATGAGGGACATGTCGACCCTAAGACATACTCATGGGTTATGGCGTTAAAGTGGGGTAAAAGCCTTGATTCTTGCCAGGCAAAACATGGACCTATCTGTCGATCAATGTTTATTATCAAACATCACGCAAGCATACTAACCGCGAGCGAATGCCAACTTCCAATATGCATGCATGCATAAGTATGCACATGAAACACTTGAATTCACATTTATAACACTTGCAAACGCATTCCGCTATGGCTCAAAACCCGCCAATACCACCACTGATAAAAGCTATTGCAATGAAAGCACTTTGGTTTTGATTACTTGATATAAGAAGCAAAAAATATTATGTGAGCCCGCTACATCGTGCTGGCCCATGTGTGCTACAGTTTATCACTGATGACTGTCTCGCCAAAAATTTTGCTATTCTTTCAATTCCCATCTCCAGCTTTGCTCCCGTCGCAGCCTAGCCGGTCAACGCTTTTGCATTTGAACATTTTCCACGCCGACAGTCACTCTCGGCAATAGTTGTGCCGCCGGTTCCCATTTCATCAGTCTCCATATCAACATATTTTCCCGTTGACATCTATCGTTCGGTATTTTGCCTTTCTATCATGTGCGCTAGGCAAGTTTCCATTACATCATTCATTCGAAAATTGGTTATGTGGTCAGGCTTGATATGTTAGGGCATCCTGCCGTTTGATTAATAGAGCTGTTTTTCCCTTCGCCTTCCAGCACGTCGGCGCCGGGCCGCACGGTCCGTTCTCAGCCCCGCTCATCAGTGACGTCACAGGCGTTGTGTCGCCCGCCTAGAGGCATTCCCTTGTCAGCTGGCTGCTCTGTCCTGGGGGTCTTCTTCTTGGCTGTTCCCTGATTTGTGCGGGATTGTTGCGAGCGGTTGGCCAACTGATTGCCGTTAAAAACGTGAACCTGCGCTCGATCGAACAAAGTGATAGGAAATATGCGAATATTTGGCTGAAAACGAACATTTAGCCTGCCCGCCAGTTCAGATGTGTTGTTTAAGAACCGGTACGTCAAGTGTGATACAAAATTGTGCATGATGGTCCTCATATAAAGATGGGTGACATACACTCAGTGCATATGCACTCTGCTAATCTGTGTCTGTCATGCGTCACGTGATGAAAAATACAGCTATTAAACTTCTAGCCTAAATAATGAAATCTAAGGTCATCCATGCATTCAAACTGGATGAAGGACGGATATGACATGTTGTGTTCACAAGCATCAAGTCAGTTATCGTGTGTCTGTCATTGCATGCGTTTCGGACCGCATAGATTGTGCGGATCTCGTTTTGCCTGAGACCCAGAGTTTGTTGTCTATGTGAACAAACATATCTACTTTCAGTTTATAGCTAGTATGCTTTCCGGTAGAATTTCTTTGCACCGCCATTGTTAGCCCGCCGTGATTTCCATGGCGTTATGCACAACGCTTTTTTCTGGTCCGTCTGTGTAGCCGCACTGCACTACAAGCAGCAAGACATGCTTTTAAATTTGTCGTCGCTGCGCGTCGAAATTGTGCCAACAGGCATGCATTTTTTAATTGCACCCGATAAGTCCCAGGCATTTTTTAATTGCGTCAGATAAGTCTCGTGCAGTTCTGTTCTGTCGCGCCGCTGGCGTAACATCTCGTGTGGCCAACCACCGGACTCGGTGTGCAGTGAAGACACGGCAGCTGTGGCTGGACATGGCTCGCCGCGGCTTGAGCGATTGAACCACGGTGCTAGCAGAGCTACCAAATCGGCCATGTCTGCCGTGGCTACTCGGGTGGTTCGCTTGGAGTGAATCGTTCCGGATCAATGTGTCAACACTGGCTGGCTGGCTGGCTGCTGGCTGGGGTCAAGGTCGGTGTGCGTCGTTCTGTGACCTCAGCTGCCCTCCCCCTCCCGCTGTGTCCCCCTGCTGCGGCGCGCACCAGCTGAAGCCCTGGAGAGCAATGGAAGTAAGTGGATCCCCTGCCATCAGCCAGTCACTATCCCCCGCTTTATCGCTCTCGTCCGCACACCCTTCGCCCTCTCGCACTTTTGCCGTCTTGCTCTCACCCCTCTGGCTGTCACCTTCAACTGCATCTTCATTCTTTCCCTTCTCTTCCGTCAGTTGACGTGGAGAGAGAGAGAGAGAGAGAGAGAGAGAGAGAGAGAGAGAGAGAGAGAGAGAGAGAGAGAGAGAGAGAGAGAGAGAGATGAGAGAGAGAGAGAGAGAGAGAGATGAGAGAGAGAGATAGAGAGAGAGAGAGAGAGAGAGAGAGAGAGAGGCTTCAGCGAATACCACCGTCGAGCTTTTTCTCCTTTTGAGTTGGGTTTGTCTCCGTTTTGTCCGGGCGGTGAGGATATGAGGGCTCCAATAACCGTGTGTCCTTTTCAGCCCTTCGTAGTCTTTGGCTGCTTCTCCTGTAGCACTTCGGTCAACGCTAAACCCCTTGGAACGTCCCTTTGTTAAGGATAATTCCTTAAGTTATTGCTCGATCGCGCAGAATTTGAAAATGCTAAGCATAACACACCAAGCGCCAATTTCGGAAATGTTTGAAAGTATGGCACGATAAACGAGTTTGTCCTTGAGCCATAACGCTTTAAAATGCATGCTATGCAAAACACGTATGCGGCATAGCTGAGATATATACTATAGTGACGCAATATGGGACGCCTCAAGCATTCTCCTGCCTAGCCGTGTGCCAGGTCCAGTCCTGTCCTGCTTCTTTCTTTTTTTTTGGGGGGGGGGAAGGGGCATTTCAGTATATACCATGACACCTATGGTGCTTGCTCCTTTTATAATCATGATGTCAAATCTCAACTTTGCACTCACTCAAGGTAAGAGTTCTGTAGAACTCGCTAAATGTTGATATAACGGAGCATGAATCAAACCAGTTGTCATGGCAAGGATGCAGCACTGTCTCCACCGAGCCAGCTGATCCCAGGCTGTGTCATGCTCGATCAGCCGTCATCTGCCCACACAGCAACCACACGAGCCAGGAACATGCCCGAAATGCAAAGCGTTCACCAGTTTTTTTAAAATCTTTTTTTAGAATTTCACCTGTCATGACCGCACATCTGCAGGTGTGGCGAATGTTGCTGCCAGCTAAGTCCACGAAAGGTGTTCAGTGTTTCTTAGACAGCACCATGACAGGTGTTCAGTGCTTCTCAGATATCACCGTGAAAGGTATACAGTGCTTCTTAGATAGCACCATGAAATGTGTCAAGTGCTTCTCAGATAGCACTTTGAGAGGTGTTCAGTGCTCCTTAGATTTCAGCATGCAGGGTGTTCGTTGTTACTTATATAGCACCATGACAGGTGTTCAGTGCTACCTGATAGCATCATGGATGGTGTTCAGCGCTACCTAGATATCACCATCAAAGGTGTTCAGTAATATTTAGACAAACTATGAAAGGTGTTCAGTAGTACTTAAATAACACCATGAAAGATCTTCGATGGTACTAAGGTACCATTATGAAAGGTGTTCGATGGCACTTAGATAACACCACGAAAGGTGTTCAGTGCTTCTTAGATAGTACCATGATGGCGATGGCGAATGTGGGCGGGTCAGTCAGATTAACATCAGAGCAGGTCACGCGATATGCAGAAGCCAAGCTGTGTGTAGTGCTCACCCCGACTACTCACTTGCTCTGTGAGCAAGCTATGTGTAATGCTCACCCCGACTGCTCACTTGCTCTGTGAGGCAAGCTGTGTGTAATGCTCACCTCGACTCAATCCAGCCCACCCAGACCGCGTCCTTCCTCCATTAGCCTTTTTGTGGCATGGAGTCCACGCCCTTGGGCCAGATGTGAAGGGTCTCTCTTCTTCATTATTTTTTTTTTTTTTGCTAGGTGATTTAACCTGCAGGAAGCGTGCTAGCCCATCACGCACATTTTTTTCCTTGCCAATATATCAGTTTGAGATGTTTTGTCTTCTCCTCAGTCACACGACAAATATGTTAGGAATGAGCAGTCAACATTGACTTACACGGCCTACATCTCGATGAGAGTCTGGGATATAGAGACGCTTGCAGGGGTACACACTCGCCGTTGTTTAGTTAGTTGGCCACATATTAAACATCCAAATACCGTCACGTTATCGATTATCCACCAGGTTGTGAGTAAATTATCATGCAGTCACAGGAATGACCAACCTTACTGCTTTGGGGCGCGATTCAAAGCATACTCTGGTAAAACCTTAGGACCAGTTGTATCTAATGATAGCATTGGGTAGTGTAGCTGCAGCACCACCAATACATAAGGGGGATACTAATTTGATTGAAGTTTGAACCTGGTTGCGCATTGGGTGAGGTTTGAACCTGTGTGCCACTATAAACTATGTGATGCCCCGTTTCCCAAAGTCAAAGTGCGCTTCGAAAAACGTCCCTGTGCTAAATGCCATATGGGAGAAATCAAAGCCATAGTGTAACGGTTCGCTGAATTCACGTGTTTCAGCCTCATGTTTGTAAATCATTTTCGTAAATGGTGTTTCAAACTCTCGTAGTTTTCATTACACAAACATTTTAACGAAGAAGTGTATTGCAAACATGACAGAGCGCAAACACACGTTGGAAAAAGTAAGGCTAATGAAAAGTATGTCCTTGATAGCGATGCGCCGGGTGTCGAATACGATTTCTTTCGTTGGCGCGGATACTCAAAATCAACATCCTGGGCAATTCAAAAGGATTTGAAGAAAACTGGTATCAGCAATGAAATCCGACGCACCTGACCTGAAAAAAGATGAAAAGCGCGAAAAAAGGCGGCATGCTCCCTTTAAACCGCTGCAGGCAAGCACCAGCCTGACCGCGGAGGGAGCCATGCAACAGACCCAGGGCGTACCCAGTGGCGGACTAGCCGGGCACGGTTTATGCCTTGCGCTTCTACGCATTACGGCTCATGGACAAGTTCACTGTGTGTCGTCCGAAGGTGACCGAATGTTCCGCAAACATTGGTGTTGTGTACGTTGTCAGCATTTTAAATGCAATGCGCTCGAGCAATAGCTTCAGGCATAATCGATAGAGGGCGGCTTGGAAACTACCGGGGTTTAACGGCGGCGGTTAAAGGAGCGGCTGCAGCTGCCCGCCTGCTTTGTGATCAGACGACGGCGTCCCCATTGCGTTCTTCGGATTCATTCCGTGCCGGCTAACGCAGCTGGAATGATTCCTCAGCTCGTGCCGCACACGGTAGTCAGTTCCCAGGCGTGCAGCGATTGGCCAGGAAGCGAAACAGCTGCTGTAGCCTGTTGCTGCCTTATCCAAGCCTTTTCTTGGACCACAGATAAGACAGCAGTATTAGCCTTTTTCCTCAGAAAAAGAGGAAAATGGAGATAAGGAATGGAGAGATGATATAGAGAAATAGAGAATAGAGAATGATGATATGTTTTTCCGAGGAATAAGGCTAATTCGACTGTCTTATCTGTGTGACTTATGTTCCTCGCTAATGCACTGAACAACTTTTCTTAGGATCATTTGGGGGTAAAGTGTATTCCAAAAAAGATAACGTGGTTTTAGTTTTACTATCTCCCTGCATGCTGCTTCTCACTCGCATGCTTTATTTGAGGTAATATATCCCATGTTAACTTTTCACTGGACTGGACATCTTAGCTCCAGCACCTTTGTCTACGAAACAGTCAGAGCTTCCGTGGGCTTCCGCGACCTTCTGCGACCTTCCGCGAGCTTCTGTGACCTTCCGCGAGCTTCCAAACATGGCTGGGCCTGCTAAAACACGATGTCCTTGATTTGAAGGCAGACAGACTCCAAAATACAGAGCGTGGCTGCATGTCGCAGGAACTGCGGTGCAAGATTCGAGGAGGGGGGGGGGGGGGGGCGGGGGAGAATAGGTAATCAGAAATGGCTATCACTCCCCCACCCCACCCAAATCCCCACCTGAACTTGGGAGTACGTTCGGTGCCCCAATGTAAAAGACTTTAAAACGTCATGGAGAAACTCAATGAAAACAATGCTAAAAAAAACAGCTGTCAGAAGTAATCCCGGTTGTGACGTTGCCTGAGGCTTTGATATTGTGGTTTTACACACCTGTTAAAATACATAACAACTCGCTGCACATCAGTTAATAGCTCATGTCATCAACCAAGTTGATATTAAAGGGCCTCTGCCAAAATGGCTTGATCACATCACAGCGAAATAAACTGCATACGTAAAAATAATGTAATGTTCTATTTAAATGAATAAATAACTATATATATATATATATATATATATATATATATATATGTTGGCCGGTACCCGCGTCACAGGTCGGTCTGTCGGCTGTGCGGAGTATGGTGGTCCTTCTGATCTTCCGAGTGAGACCGATACAAATTGGCTCTGATGCTCATGGACCGATGGTATGCAAAGCGAACGGAGATCTCTTCGCAACAAAGAACAAAGTTGGCAAACTCGGAGCATCCGTACACTTACCTATTCTGGTCAGTACGCAGCGAGGAGAAATGAGGCAGGGTGGTCTGAGGGACTCAAACGAATGAACTTGGGCAAGTGGTTACAGAACGGGGTATTTACACAATTACAAGAAAATGCCGAGCGTGTCTATATCTATCAAAAATCGCATAACGTTATAGAAAATCAGTGACGACCATCGCAGCAGTAGCAGATGGCGTTTCGTAGCTGCATGACATGGCAAGTACGGGCGGAAGACTTCGTGGGGCCGTGGTACAGAGGTGCGCGAATGTGGGGGATGCTTCGCGGGAGCCCAACATAAGGTGGGTAGGGGCGGAGATGGTCTGGGGGATCACGGAAGCCTAATTTAGTGGTGGGTAGGATCGCGTGGGTTACCTCGCGGGAGCCTGGCTTAAGGGTGGTTGCTTAGGTAGGGACGGACGAAAGGCTGCGCGAGATCCCTATATAGGGGTGGGTAGGGACGGTCGAAAAGCTTCGCGGGAGCCTGACATGCAGGTGGGCAGGGACGGGCTGGGGGCTTCGCAGGAGCCTTGTGGAGGGATGGGCAGGAACGGTCTGGAGGCTTCGTGGGAGCCTAACATAGGGGTGGGCAGGGACGAGCGGGAGGCTTCACGGGAGCCTAACATAGGGGTGGGCAGGGACGAGCGGGAGGCTTCGCGGGAGCCTAACATAGGGGTGGGCAGGGACGAGCGGGAGGCTTCGCGGGAGCCTAACGTAGGAGTGGGCAGAGACGAGCGGAAGGCTTCGCGGGAGCCTAACATAGGGGTGGGCAGGGACGAGCGGGAGGCTTCACGGGAGCCTAACATAGGGGTGGGCAGGGGCAATCGGAAGGCTTCACGCGAGTCTAACATAGGGGTGGGTAGGGACAAGCGGAAGGCTTCACGGGAGCCTAACATAGGGGTGGGTAGGGACAAGCGGAAGGTTTCGCGGGAGCCCTAACATAGGGGTGGGCAGGGACGAGCGGAAGGCTTCACGGGAGCCTAACATAAGGGTGGGCAGGGACAAGCGGAAGGCTTCACGCGAGTCTAACGTAGGGGTGAGCAGGGATGGTCTGAAGGCTTCCCGGAAGCGTGCCACGGAATGAGCAGGGACGAGCGGAAGGCGTCACAACACCACGATTCCCATGTGAGCAGAGAGGGCCGGAAGGTCGTGGGGAGCCTGACCTAGAGGTGGGCGGGCTGGGGTGAGCATCTGTGGGCGGTGTTTCAGTGGCGCTGACCAGCAGCGGCTCGGAGCCGGTCAAGTCGCCCAGCAGCGGGCTCCTGAGCGCTGCCCGGCAGATGACGAAGCTGGGCAAGAGCTCCACGGATCTGAGTCCGGATGGGCCCGCCTACAACAGGTGAGGAGGGACCGTGGTCCTCGCGCCGCTCCTGGCTGTAGGGGAGCCCGCCTACGACGGCTAGCCAACAACACAGCGATCATGACTCTAATGTTTTGTTGAACGGTGCATTCGACGCGCACCGGGGGGGGGGGGGGGGGGTTACTTCACTCTAGGTCTGTGCTGGAAGGATACCTTCCATAAGGAGGGATTTGCAGACGATAGTGCTCGTGGAGTACGTGAAAATGTGGAGTGGTCTACTCTGTGCACGGCACCTTTTGCTATATACTGGGATGTGTGTGTATGTTCCTCTGTGTGGATTGTCGGGACTGGGTGTTCACACAACTGTTCGAAAGGACCTGCAATTTTTTTCTTGTGTTTGGTCTCCTCTTTACTTCTGGTCTCTGACAAGTCTTTGGAGCTTTTTTATTTCCCTTCAATAATATTCGCAATGTGGGGTCTGGCTCGTTGTCGGTGCACGTTGACAGCTTGCATACATGAGAATATTGCCTTCATCCCAGGCAAAGTGTGCGTATAGCTCTAAACACCTGTCTAAGTATGCGATCATTGACTAACCCCTAGAGAAGCAATACAACTGCGGTTAGACCCAACGCGGCGTTAGCAATGACTGAGTCCTCGCGGGCTGTGCCTCGGGTAGTGAGCCGATGAGCTGGGCGGAGGGTCCGGACCGCGGGTGTCTCCTGTCCAAGCGTTGGCCGTTGGACGCTCGGGTGTGCCGCTCATGAGGCGTGTGACCGCGTTTTACAGACTGCCGGAGGAGACGCCTCCCACCGGATACCAGGCGCTTCCTCTCGCCTATGAAGTGAAAAAGCTGCTGTGCGCACCGCAGTCGTAGCGTATTTGCGTGACTCTCTCCCAGTATCTCTGTGTGGTAGCTAGCTGTGAACCCTGTAACTTAGAGATAGCTGGAGAGGCTGCGGTGCTGACCACTGCATGATCAACCTCATCTTCGCAGCCAGTAGCTTACCAGGTTCATGCGTCGGGTTGGCAGGCTGCCAAATCGGCGCAGTGAACCAGCAGACATGCAACATCTGAGCCGTTCCGCTACTTCCGGACGCCTGGTTCAGTTCCATGCATGCTCTTCCCGAGGGCGCCGCTAGGTCACGTCCGCTAGGTCACTTCCACTGAGCCACGTCCGCTGGGTCACGTCCGCTGGGTCACGTCCGCTAGGTCATGTGCGCTGGGCCACGTTCGCTCGGGCACGTCCGCTGGTGGGACTGGATCGGACCCGGCCTCGTGCTGCTGGGCGTCGTTCCTCTTTTGTCGCGCTCATCCCCTCCCGGCGCGACCAGCGGGCGGGTTCGTTCTTTTGATCTGATCAGTTTCATCGTTAGTTCTCCAGTCCGACTCTTACCTAGACCTATTTCATAAAACGAAGACAGGAACTTCCGTGTCTCTGAATTGCGTCGTGTGAACATACGAACAAGAAACAAACCGATTTGGCCCGACCCATTTTCGACCTGGCCGGCTTTTAAGCCATTGATGAGAAGGACGTATTGGTTGAAGCTTATTCTTCTTGGTGTATGATTCAGTACTACACGAACCAACAGTACGGAAAATCGATATTTCATTTTATGACACTGTGCCCGAGTCCTTGGCGAACCCTGTAAAAGTTGCCCGGTTTTTAAGGGTTTATGGCACTAAATGATATGTGGTGCCATCACATAAATGCCATAAATTGCATTCACTTAGTGCTATAATACACTACAAATGACGCTAAATATCATATCTAGTGTATTCATATATAAATTAATTTAGGATACCGGAATGACACTTTTAGTCCTATACAAGCTGCGAACCGCTCTAGTCGCTTGCGAAGAACCAGAACCGGACGTATTCTTAGTCAGCCACCCAGTTCTTACGCTGGCATATTTCATTGGCGTCTTGGACACGTGATGTGTCCATCACACTGAGGTTACCGACCATCGCACTCTGATGTTACCGACAATATTGCAAAACCTCACGACAGCGGAGGCAAGGTGCGATAGCCAAGTGGTAGGCACCCTCGGCTCCCACTTTGGGGCCCGGGCTGAAATCCAGGAAGATTCATAGCGCTAATATCCATAACAGGATACGCGACGACGTGCGTCGCATTCCCTTAAAATGAAAACAGATCGCCACGGCTATCGGGAGCAAAAGTGCAACAGCTTTTACAGGTTCGCTGTTCAGCCCTGTTTTGCATTTTGAAACATCATCCATGCTTTACATTTTGCCATGCTGTATTGCGAACATTGTTAGGTTGGTTCGTTCCCTTGACTTGTTTAGTCACGTGATGTGTTTGGTGTGCCTACGTCTGGCACGGCAAGCACTGTCACGCACTGACTTGGGTCTGTGCAGCAAACACCAATGACGCTGTCAGAACAAGCCGTTGGATTGAAACGTGATTACGTCATACACGGAATCGTACTATTGGACACGCGGCCTTCGTGTCACGCCTGATGCCTGTGGGCTGTTCTCGCCGTACCACCCACTTCATGTCGCGCACGCAATCCAGCTTTTAGACTTTCGGCGTCTTTAAAATAGACGCATTATGAACATCTCGACGTGCCATGTGTTCGTTTGTGTCGCTAAATCAATGAAATTATATTTCTTAGCCAGTCAATGTCCAAGCATGCTGTCGAAAGTTCCTCCATGTCAAAGCGACTTGCTTGGCTGCTGCAATGGCTTGAACCGTGCCGAAATTAGTGCGTGTTCTGTCCTGTTGCGCCATATTTCCACGGTGCGTAAGCGTTGAAATAGCTCGAGCTCGTGCGGAAAACGAGCGCATTGTTGCATGACGAAAATGGCTCGTGAATGCCGAGCAGTGAAACGGCACCGAATTTGGAAGCGGTTTTGCCGCATCGGAAGTTGGAAGCGCTATTTAAGGACTGCATGCGGGCACGGTGCATACGAGTACACGCACGCATGCACGCAAGCACGCACGCACACTCCATCTGCAATGGTGGCGTGGATTGGTCAGCGTAGCCCCATTCGCAGTGTCAGTATGGGCAGACGATATCAGCATCTGTACTGGAGCACGCACCGCCCGGCAACTAACCGATCATCGCGGTTCAAACTGATCGACTCCCAAACTGATTTTGGAGGTTAGTGTACAGATTGCTGAGTGCCCAAATAACGTTAGATTAGATAATTTTCGGATTAAAGAGACCATGACTATTGCGTACCGTGTTCTATGCTCATCCAGGACGCCGCGGGACCTTTTTGGAATGACGTTCTTGATCTTTTTGGGACCTTTTCGCGCGACAGGGAGTAGCCGGGTGGATCTCCGCGCTCGGCCGGGATGGGTAGGATTGACAGCCCGAGTGGTCGTCAGTAGAACATAAATGGTGTTCACAAATCCTTTAGGAAGCGTTGCGTTGGATAAGTTGGTAAGGTGTTGCGCCAAAATGAGGTTCTACAGACAGGCAGACACATGGGCCCAATAATTAATTGCTATGTTGAAGCCATTGATTATTTGGTCTGTGTGAGAAAGGGTACTGCGCCGGTGAGCCTCGCATCCTCACAGACCTAGCGGGCCACTAGGTCACAAGGTCAGTGGCATGCCCGGGTTCCCACTACGGCTTGGCACCTGCCGCATTATGTGAGGTCGCTGGTCAGCATCGGACGCCGGCTGGACAGCATTTAGAAGGCCTGAATTGGAATTGTAAATGATCCCGCACCTGCGCTGAAAAGTTGCTTTGCTAAGTTGTGAATTGCATCGCACGTCGCACGAATCTTATATATATATATATATATATATATATATATATATATATATATATATATATTTGTAATGCACAGACCTGTACCGTGCATTACGAGGTGTTCGTTCGGGACCCGTTCAAGGCGATTCGAATGGAGGAGTGAGCAAACATACGCATAGTGTTAAAGCTCGTGTGATGCTGAAAGTACGGTCATGCAAATACGTTTGCTGTGCTCACCGAATGATTGTCCGCTGACATACGTAACGTAGCATGTCTCTCCATGCGTAACGTAACGTATGGATAGCTCCTTACCGAAATGATTGAAATGGCGTAGCGTCATCTGCTGTCAGGAGCGTTCAGCAGTGGCGAGGACCGACAAATCAGCGCTCGGTAGCAACAGGGAAAGAGGTGTTATGGCCTTCGGGCGATGCGCATGTTCTTATCATCCTTTGAAATCCTTCGTTTCCCTATCGGTATACCCAAATGTGTGTTTCCAATTGCGTGGAAGACATTGCTCTAAACGACCTTAAAAAAAAACACACTTGGGGTATTTCGCCTCCCGCGACCGCCAGGGAGTTAAATAACCCTATACCCCTGGAAGCTCAGGATCTAACCTATACGCTAATCGCAGGTTGGAAAATCAAGCGTCAGCAGATGACCTTGGTCAAATGCGTTTAAGTTTACATCCGTCACGTGATGGTTGTCGCCACAGATCCTGCTAAATGCCTGAAGTCAGTAAACCACATAAAGCTGTAGTTAAGTCATTTGTTAATAAAGGAAATTGTCCTGTAAGTTTGGAACACCGGGCATGCTAATTTTCGCGATATTTGTTGAACAGGTTAATCGGTGACACCATTAGCTACCGCATTCTGGCGCTTCATTATCATATTATGACATCAGCGCATGCCAAGGGCCGGCGTTCTATGAAGTCCCGGTCGGGTCACCAGATCAGATCAGGAGATCGGACCCAGATCAGGTCACCAGATTAGATCAGGTCACCTCCCAGCTCAGGTCACCACCCAGAGCAGGTCACCACCCAAATCATGTCACCACCCAGATCAGGTCACCACCCAGATCAGGTCGCCACCCAGATCAGGTCACCACCCAGATCAGGTCACCAGATCAGATCAGGGCACCACCCAGATCAGGTCTGCTCTTAAGATTCACATGCCACATGGAAGTCATGTCTCCTCACCATCGACATAATGGGTTAACAAAAGGACGGACTATATGTCAATCCAACTGTTTGGAGACGCGACTTTCTGCACGGAAGTTGTGTCTCCTCACCATCGCTCAAACGGATTTAAGTCAGCATAAAGGACACACCTTCTGGCGGGACTTACCCTGACACTGTTCGGAAGTTCTCTCCAAAACTTGGAGATGGACCATCTTGTCCCTGGTAGTTGAGGGTTAGGTGTTGTATTTCGACATCTGAATGGTTGTCTGATGTTCGTTATTCAATGCCTGTTCGGAAGCTTGTTATTCAGGGCTGTTTTGTGTGTTACGTTCAGAGATGATGGGTGTTGCTGATGTTCCCTGCGGTACTGCTTTTTTCTGATGAGGAAGTTGACCCAAACATGCGGTGTGCTCTTTCCTACTGGTGGTGTTATGCTCATCTCGGTGCCGCCACCTCTGGCAGTTCCTTGACCTGGAAACCTGGGGCTGTGCTCTGATGTATATTCGCCTTGGCCCGTGACCAGTGCACTACTTGTAACCTGCCTTTGGGTTGTGATCATCCCTTAGACGTGTAACGTTCTGCCAGAGGCTTCTCGTGACCTGTAATCTTAACTCTGGTCGCTGATGTTTCCTCTGGCATGTAACCTGTGTCATATATCCATCCTGACTGGTGATCATCATCTGTGGCATTCGATACGTGACCTCTAGCTTGTGCCCTAGATCGAATCTGTTGCCTCCAATCTGACCTGCGTACTTCCCCATGACCTGTTAAATGACCTCTGACCTAAAGCCTGAACTCTGCATGACCTCTGACATGTAGCCTGACCTCTGACCTGTACCCAAACCCCTGACATGTCCTCTTAAACGTAGTCTGACCTTTGGCATGACTTCTGACCTCTGCATGACCTCTAACCTGTACCCTGATTACTGGCATGGCCTCTGGCATGAACTCTGACCTATGGTCTGACCTCTGACGTGACATCTTACTTATAGCCTGACCCCTGACGTGACCTGTGTCACGAACTTTGACCTCAGCCCGGCGTCGCGAGCCGCCAGCGGCGCCAACGCCGGCCCCGGCGGCATCCAGTCCGGCATCGCCGACGACCAGTCCAAGGACTTCGACTTCGAGAAGACGGAGATGAAGTACGACAGCACGGGCATGTTCCACTGGTGTCCAGCCCGGTCCATGGAGGACTGCATGCTGGTACGTTCAGCGCTGTCGTCCAATGGCGGCGCCAGAACATTCTAGAGGCCAGTCGCTGATTGGCCGACGCGCTAGAGGGCCAGTCGCTGATTGGCCGACGGGGAGCCGGCATGCCGGTGGGTTGCACGGTGATGTACTCGTTTGGTGGGCGCCGACCAATCGGCTAGAAATCACAACGTTGGTTGACTGGATTCATGCTGGCAGTGCACCAATGGGTTGGCATGCTTTTGTATGATATGCACTCAGTGTTTATGGTCATCCCCCTCACCCAGCACACCGAGGCCCAAAGTTATGGGAGCGAGGTATTGGGCATGGGCTTGGCCATAAACTTTGTGGCAATTGAACAACGACCCATGGTGATTTGCTCCGAGAATTAACTTCACAAAATAAAAATGTATCTGTCCATAGCCGGTTCAGTCAATGCCTCTGCCTCGGTTGATGAGGCCTTACTTGTCCACCGGTGTGACCACTCATCACTGGGCCTTGGCCTTGACCTCTGACCTCGCAGGATCGGAACCAGGCGGCGATGACAGTGCTCAACGGCCATGTGGTGGTCTGTCTGTTCGCCGACCCCGACTCGCCCCTCATCGGTGAGAGTCTGCGTCCGGTGAAATCCGGCAGGACCGGTGAAACCGGTCAGATCCGTAAAAATCTGATAAGATCCGATAAGATCAGTGAGATCTTTGGGTCCGGTAAGATTGGTGAGATCCAGTGAGATCGGTGAGACCGGCGCACGCCGCCGCCGCCGCCCTGCGGCCAGCTCTGCTCTCAGCGTGCTCTTTATGACGTCATTTCTCACTGATGGGTGACTTGTTCGCATCTCTAATCTATGAACAGGGCTTCATCTTGACTGATATGTGACCGCTGTGTTCGAGTCACCCGAGAGCGTGAATGAGACGGGCTCGCCTCCAATGGTGTGAGTTCCTCACGGCCCTCTGCCGGGTGAGCAACTCACCCCAGCTCGCCCCAGTGTCTCAGCTGCGAGCGGTGCTCCCCAGCACTGAGTGCTCAGAACAGCCGTGCTCCGCGCTCCCGCTGGGTGGGGCCAGCCTGGTCCGATCTCCGGTGCTGCCGCTGCGTGCCTCCGAGCCTCCTGCAAGTCTCCAAGGTGTCGCTCTGTCAGCGAGTCCGACATGATGTCTCCGTACGCCGGCAGGCCTCCGTAACCTGGTGATGCCGCTGCGCGCCTCCAACTTTCACTACCACGAGCTGAAGCACGTGGTGATCGTGGGCTCTGTGGACTACGTCCGACGGGACTGGAAGAACCTGCAGAACCTGCCCAAACTCTCCATACTGAACGTCAGTGCCACGGCCGCGCCCAGTGCCCTGTCCAGTTGGTCGTTTGCAGGTCAAAGACCAAAGCCGTAGTGACAAATATGACATCCGGGCAGTGTCCTCAAGTATTGGGTTCATTTTGTGAACCAGCAAAACTGAGTGTGATGCCATGTTTTCTCAGCAAAGTGTAACGTCAGTTTGGGGTCATCTAGCGCCGGCTAGATGCCCACTAATCAGATTAGATTTTGATGGCCGCTTGTTACATGCTGTCTCAGTTGTCGGCTCGCGGGACCTGGGATCTGAATCTTAACGGAACAGGGGGGGGGGGGGGGGGGCAGCGCGCCACTGACCCCACCACTAGCCCTCAGGGCAGGGCCGAACACAGCCAGCACCTGGCCGGCTTTAGCTGGGCCATCGCTTTAACGACCGTGTAACGCGTTGCATCATGAGACGTGACGTAGTTTCCGTCACGAAGCGGTCGGCAAACGTCCGTTCACAAGTCCGTCACAGCGCGCGCCAATGCTTCTCCCGCCCTGCTGCGCGCGGTCATGGCCCGGATCACACCCGACGCCGCTGCTTCAGGGATCTCCGCTGAGCAGGGCCGACCTCAGAGCGGTGAACGTCAACCTCTGCGACATGTGCGTCATCTTGTCGGCCAAGGTGAGAGGGCAGACCCTGCCGGCACCGGACCACAGAGTCAGGACAGCCCGCGCCGGCTCAGCGCGCATTGCCGACTTTGCTGGTTATCTGCACTGGGCTGAGTATGCACCTGCATTTATGCCGATCGAACTTAGCTGAGCTGATCTAGTTAAGTTGGTGTGATCTGGGATGCTCGCTCCACATATCTGGAACCCCCCGCATTTGTAGATATTGAAGCAAACATCAGATATGATGAAGTAAGCTCGCTTATGACTATGGATACATTTTTAAGTGGCAAAGACTCCTCTAGACAGCGCAATTTTCTGTTTGGTAAATACTCTCCTCAGTATGTCATTAGTTGATTGCGTCATCGCACCTTGCACAACATTGAATGAGTGTCAATGGACGGCCGTTATACCAGGAAGTTGCTCTCACGAACGCCAGATATGAACGACTCGATAATTATGCTTTCTTAGCCCAGATCGCCGCGTACCCAGTGGAATCACAGGATTAGAATGACGTAATGATGATATCATGGATGCCTAGGGGATCTTGAAATAGTCTGCACGATGTAGTCTGTACATCTTCTGGGGCGCATAGCTCAGACTCTAGAAAGTTTTAGGTCTTAACAAGGCCAGGGCTGTGAGCTGCACCAAATGATCTTCAAGATGGCTATTTCAGTTAAAACCTCCGTACAAATGTGGAACACTCTTTAACCGGCGACGCTATTTCTTCTCTGAATAAACTGATCTGTTCTCTTGACCAAGTATACTGCCGTGAACTGATTTTCCATCAATTCAGACCAGACGAGAATCCATCGTTCTGATGCTGCTGATGCTGAAATTGAACGTCGACTGATTGAATTGAATTGAACGATTCTGAAATTCGACGTCGATGTTTGCCTGTGGATCGCCACGCACGCCTGTGCAAACATTGATGCCGTGTCCGGCGCAACGTCACGTCACGCCATGCTGACGTCACACCCGCCTGACCTGAGCCACCGCCCGGGGAGCTGACCTCCGCTGACCTCCGCTGACCTCTGCTGACCTTGGCCAGGTGCCAGGTCATGACGACCCGACTCTGGCGGATAAGGAGGCAATCCTCGCCTCCCTCAACATCAAGGCCATGACGTTCGATGACACGATTGGTGTCTTCAGCCAGAGTAAGTGGCGCGGGGGGAGGGGGGGGGAAGGGAGGGGGAGGGGGCACCTGGACGGCTTGTCGCGATCGCCTCTGAACACGCATCGGAAGCCTGCTCTCCGAGGAAGTTATGTGAAGCCAGCACGCGGCTAGACTGTTCCATAGCAGTTGTCAATTTTAGTCGTAAATACGTGCCATTTTTCAGGAGATAGACTAAGCAATGTAAATTGAGCATTGAAGGCTGAGCATTGTAGATGAAATACCCCCCAAATCACCCGTATAGCTACCTTGCATCCGACAGGAACAACAACTATTTGTGCCGCCCGTCGACGCTTAAGCGCTTGTCAATCCCCTTCTGTCCGGTCTGCCGTGCCAAATGGTTGGCAGCTTGCCAAAAGGTCCAGCTCCACATGCTTGGATGGCGAGGAGCACGGTCCGCAGGACAGCCCACTCGAGTCTGAACTTTCCGCGGCAGTGCTTCTCAGTTGATAATTGATCCCTTATTTGGCACACACCCCAATCATGATGTTACGCTTCAGCTGGCCTGCTGGGCTGGTCAAATGCCGGCAGCAGGGCTCCCCTATCCTAGCTCTATGATCTGAATAAAATAACATGTTATGCACCCTAAATGCTAAACCTGGGCCATTCTGTTCGTTTCTGTTGGTTTCCTTGCTTGCGTGCCGCTGTGTTCACTGGTGACGTGTGATTGGTTGTACCGCCGGATTCACCTGCGCCGTCTTTGTGATCTGTGTCTCACTGCACTGCAAGACCCGAGCTGTTTCCTCCAGTGACCTGTGTCTGACTGTGACCTGTGTCTGACTGTGAGTGTGTCTAACGGTGACCTGTGTCCGCCCGCACCACCAGGTCCGAGTGGCAGTCGGACGCCGCCGAGCAGTCCTCTCGTCGTTCAGCGGCGTGGCTCCGTGTTCGGCGTTAACGTCCCCATGATCACTGAGCTTGTCAACGACTCCAACGTCCAGGTCGGCAGCCCGGGGGCGCCAGGCCGCGGGAATGACATGTGGCCGTCAAGTGACGGGATCTCTGTGTCGAATGGCCGCACCATTGTTAGGGCAACAAGCGTCAGCCCTGCGTAGGGACGTGACTGGGTGGGTGGCACTTTACGTTTCATGATTTCATGATACATGATTTCATGATTTCATGGTACATGATTTCATGATTTCATGATACTGTTCACAACATGCAGGCACACTTAAACACAGAACGCAGGTTAAATCGTTGGAATTGGTATGCTGCCGTCACCGCACATACTAGACGATCTCACGCACTGTAGGACCGAGGAGAGTTTGGGCATGGTAGCTTGTGGGCCGAAAGCCTTGTTGTAGACCCGTTGCGGGAGAGGGATGACCCCCCTCTTGAAGGGGGGCGCCCCCTCTCATAGGGGGGGGGGGGGCGCTCACCCATTCCGAAGGGGGGGGGGGGTTTGACGCCGCCAGGATGCCGCTGCGGTCAAACCGACAGGCGCAAAGTATTTGTTGAGTCGACAAAAGAGCTTAGTTGCTCGTTTGCTGCTCTGTCAGGCCTCAGTTGTCGCTTCTTGCCGTCCAAAGTAGCGCCAAAGTAGCGCCTTTCTTGCCCTTCGCTATGCCACCTGACCCTTGGCACGCGGGACTTGATCGTGTTACTGCGACCTCCCTTCTGCCGAATAAGGTGTAGCGTCAGTGTCAGTGTCAGTGGCACCCATACCTCCAACGTCAGCTACGGGTCTGGCGAGGGATGCAGTCGCCGCTCCCGCCGGCGCCTTGACCGTGGCCTGCCGCTCCGCCGCAGTTTCTGGACCAGGACGACGACGATGACCCGGACACGGAGCTGTACCTGACCCAGCCTTTCGCCTGCGGCACCGCCTTCGCCGTCAGCGTGCTGGACTCGCTCATGTCCACGGTACGGCCGCCGTGACCCTCGTGACCCGGCTGTCGTGACCTCGTGCACCTTGTGACCCTCTGGCCGCCGTGACTCTTGTGACCTCCGACCGACGTGACGTCGTGACCCCCGTAATCCTCCGGTCGCCGTGACCTCGGGACCCTTGTGACCCTCCGGCACCCTGACCTCGTTGCGGCCGCAGTGGTGGACCACTGAGGGCACGACGCGTTCCGCGTTTGACCCCAGCATGTTGGGCTGTTGAGGCTGTGGAATTAACCCTCTTGAGCCATTTTCTCAACCTGCGACCCTGTGTTCCACTATTCACAGACTGTCAGCTCTTGACCCTCACTATGCGGGTTTTCCTGTGACCCTTACTCTCCGGGTTTTCCTGTGACTCTAATTCTGCGCGTTTTCCTGTAACCCTCATCCTGTGGGTTTTCCTCTTCCACGTTACGTACACATCGTCCCCCTGGAATGCATCAGGTTCCCATTGACACTGTGGGAAGAATCTCGTCAGCGTTAGGCTTTCTGATTTATTCCAAGCAGCTGTGTCTACCTTCGTCGACTTTCAAAAGTGCCAAGTTAAAGTGATTGCCAAGTACGATAGCCAAGTACATAGCGCCTACCCCAAGTACGTGGCGTAGATGTTAACTCCATTTGCGCAGCCCGAAAGATGCTAGATTCTCGCTTGCGTTTCAGTTGCAGTGTTCCCTGTGGTGTTAATGTTCATGTGGGTCGTGCTCATGTCCTGCTGAGTTAAGAACTCACTGTTCCTGCGACTTACGAAGATCTCATGTTAAAGTGTGATGGCTCGTGACTTAAAACCCATTTGTATGGGATTTTGCGCTTATCTGGAATGCTTCTGTTCTCCGAAACTCGAAACGTAGCGTTGTTTTCAGTCATCGTCGTTGTCTTGGCCCAATATGTGGGTACGTCACGTTGCTGCTGATATGGCATTCGCCAGACCTTTTTAGCACACTGCGTCTGGCATGCCTGAAGACATCGTACTGAGAACGAAGACGCACAACCGCACACCGATCATTATGTTTTGGACATCTGAAACGAACCATAACGTACAGCGAGCTTCAGCTCCAAGCCATGTTCGGGATGTCAGCTTCTCGGACCAGCCGCAGTGAGGGCTGCTATATGCGGGTTGTCAGCTTCTCGGACCAGCCGCAGTGACGGCCGCCATCTGCGGGTTGTCAGCTTCTCGGACCAGCCGCGGTGAGGGCCGCCAGCTTCTCGGAACAGCCGCAGTGAGGGCCGCTATCTGCGGGTTGTGAGCTTCTCGGACCAGCCGCAGTGAGGGCCGTCATCTGCGGGTTGTGAGCTTCTCGGACCAGCCGCAGTGAGGGCCGCTATGCTGCGTTTCAGACGTACTTTAACCAGAATGCGCTGACGCTGATCCGGTCCCTGATCACCGGCGGCGCCACACCGGAGCTGGAGCTGATCCTGGCGGAGGGCGCCGGCCTGAGAGGCGGCTACAGGTCGGTCACAGGGAGCCGTGCCGGTCAGCACAGGCCGCCGGGGTCGCCGTGATGGGTGGGAGGGCGGTGACATCGCGGGAGGCTGCTGATCACGGGATCACTGTGATGTGGATGACTGACGGAGGACATTGTGTAATGCAGGTTGACCCGTGATTTGACATTCACACATTCTCCACCTGGACAAACGTCTTGCTTCCATGCCTAATTAGGAAAGTTGTAAATCGTGGTAGGCTTTGTGGCAGTCAACTAATAAAACGTTTAGAGCAGTTATCTGCATGATAATTGTTGCATGACTGTTATTGTGCTACAGATAGAACCATGTAGTTACTATACTTCATTTCAGTAGTCAGTGAGTGCATTTGAATGTAACACGATGTTATTTCATATTTTTCACTTCAGAGTTCAATTTAAGCTAGAATTTTATAATGCCTCGTAGAATCCGATATTTTTTTATTGTGTGAATGCTCTGTTCTCAAAGCCATCTTTAAACGTCAAACAGAAACCGCCACTTTGCCAAAAATATCCCCTTTAAACGCCGTGTGCTTTTGCTAGCCGCACATTGCGTGTCTGCAAACCCAAAAGTGGTAGTTCTGGTACTTCTCCTTGGTGTTGTTGGGCACACGATGAGTCCCTCTATTTTACGCCACGGTCGGCAGGTGCGGTCAACGGATTAAAAAAAAAAAAAAAATCCGCCATCATGAATGTGGCAAAAACAGACCATCAGCTGCGACGGAAGAGCGTCAAAACTGATGGTTGACATCATTGTCAGACAACTGAAAGGCTGGAACATGTATTCCGGCGTATGTGCCGTGGAAGACACAAGCCGAATCTCTACCAATTCTTGCGTTGTGTCCCAATGTCCTCACCGGGCTCCACCGTTTCACTGGGCAGCTTTGGGAATCCGGCAGGTTTGAGTCAGTATGTCGTAAGTCTTCAGGCCAATGATTCAGTCTGACGCCCTTTCCCAGCTGAGCAGCGCTATGCAATGTTGCTGTGCCAGCTGTATGCGCCAACGCTGGCCGGTGCGGTAGTTTCAGGGGCATATGCACGTAGTAGCTCCCGAGAACACCTCCTCGTTATCAAATTGAAAGTTATTAATTTACACTTGACCAAATCTTGGCAGTTAAAAACTCCAGGTTGACACGCACAGATATGATCGATGTTCGATGCAATGAAACATGGGTGGAACAGGCGATGTTCTTTGCAAGAAGAAATAAATTGCGCGAGTGTACGCCCAGTGTTTTTTGTCCAGTTTTTCAGTTTTTTTGTGTGGAAAATCATGAGATGTGCCCATGCCATTGTGAAGTCGTGTGTACGTCCCTAGATAGTATGCGATGCATCGTCAGGGATGGCAGGTGTTTGAATGGTGACAGGTGTTTGGACTGAGTCAAACGCCACGAATCATACATATGCTCTTCTTGGTGACACTCCAATGTCTGGTTTCGAAAAGGGCACTGGAAAACCGCCGTTAGGGGGCAGATTAATGGATTGCTGTTATTGACTGCTTTGCGTTCCACTAGGGCCGTGCCGGTTCTTCAGCAACTATTTACCAAAAACATTTGTTATGAAACGCGGTGAAATGAAGCAACGCATTCTCGACACGCACCTATATATATATATATATATATATATATATATATATATATATATATATATATACATATATATATATATATATATATATATATGTGTGTGTGTGTGTGTGTGTGTGTGTGTATGTGTGCGTACTCTTGATCCATGTGCGGGCCTAGCCTCGGTGGATGGACCCCAGGTGCGCGCAACGCCGTCCTTCAGTTACCTTTCTCCTTCATTGCATAGCCCTGAAATGGTGATGACTGGCCGAAAAAGCTCCGACCCAAGCAAACAAAGCCAGTGTCAACTGCTCTCCACGCGCCCCCTACCCCACAGCTCTTGTGACTTCTCGTAGCCTCGCAGTGTCGGCTGTTTGCTTTGCTCGCGAGTCCGGCGGGGAGTTATCAGTCCACCTTTTGCCGGACAGCACGGCCGACACGCTGACGAACCGGGACCGATGCCGCGTGGGGCAGATCAGCCTGTGCGACGGGCCCCTGGCACACTTCGGCGAGGGAGGCCAGTATGGCGACCTGTTCGCCGCCTCTCTGCAGCAGTACGGCATGCTCTGCATCGGCCTCTACAGGTGAGGAGAGAGAGAGAGAGAGAGAGAGAGAGAGAGAGAGAGAGAGAGAGAGAGAGAGAGAGAGAGAGAGAGAGAGAGAGAGAGAGAGAGAGAGAGAGAGAGAGAGAGAGAGAGAGAGAGAGAGAGAGAGAGAGAGAGAGAGAGAGAGAGAGAGAGAGAGAGAGAGAGAGAGAGAGAGAGAGAGACGGAGCCGAAGCCGGAGCCTGCCGTCCGGTTGCTCCATGACGGCTTGCGTGATGATGTGTGACCGCACAATGACGCAATTTTTCGTAAATTCAAACGTAGCTTGATAACGTTGACGTTCTGTCATTTCACAACACTTCGTTGACCCCGGTTATTTTACTGATACGTTTATTGTATCCTAAAACCCGGGAAACGCAAAATATGCTGGACGCCGTTGGTAAGTAGAGGCAGTTTTTGGTTTGGAAAGGGGTAGTTTTCGAGAAAAAAAACTTCATAAGCTCCCACCTCTGCATTCCTGGCCGTCTCCCCCGCGGCCGGCGGTGGTTGACCTTGGTGTGACCTGCTGACCGTTTGACCTGCCTGCTGTGACCTGCTGACCGTTTGGCGCAGATTCCGTGACACGAACAGCTCGCCGGACGCGTCCACCAAGCGATACGTCATCACGAATCCGCCCGGTGACTTTGCCATCCTCCCCACCGACCAGGTGCGTTGGCTTCGGGCCGGGAGAATGAGTTTAGATGCGGTGTTTAGTGTCTAACACGGTGTCTAGTGTTTGATACAGTGTCTAGTGTTTAACTCGGCGCCTAGTGTCTTACAGAGTATATGGTGTCCAGTACGGCATCTAATGGCTAACATGGTGTCCAGTGTCTAACATGGCATCTAGTATCTAACATAGTGCCTAGCGTCTAACACGGTGTCAAGTGTCTAACACGGTGTCTAATGTCTAACAAAGTGTCTATTGGCGTATCTAACAGAAGTACTCGTACGAAAATACAGTAGTGAATGTAACAATAGCAGTTCCAGAAATCCACCGTCTGATAATGTGACTCACGGCCCACTCGGCTCGCCGGATACTCATTGTGGGTCGTTTGACTCAACACGGCTCGCAAGATTCTCTGTCCATTCGGGAGCTGTTTGAAGCCATCTGGGCTGCGTGCGTTGGTGTCCGAAACGAGGGCTTGGTGGGGCTGAGACTTACGGACAGTCTAACAAAGGTCCAACGGTGCTAATTGCAAGCGAGTGGGGATGAACGGGCTGCAGTCTCTCCAAACTCCAAGACCGACCACTGAAGTGGTTTCCCGGCTGTGGTGTCATCGTTAATGCATCCTGTGTGTATGCCGCGTGTTTCTTACTCAGCGGCATCCGAGCATCTGCCGAGGCTTGAAACGTTCGTTAAAGCTGTTCGTAACATACAGCTCCGCTTTTACTTTTTGGAGCTTTTCGGATCATATTTATACCATGATATTTACAGGGCAGATAGCAATGTTTAATCGGGTATGCATGTTTTCACCAAGGTGGCTTTTGGAAAAACCTAGAGATTTTTAATAATTTGAACCACAAATGTATCGTGATTGAAGACAAGTGAATCCTTAATCGAGTCATAACCCCGTTGTCAACGTGTGTATCTATCCCCAACCCCATCCTCCTCTTCCACTCCCCTCCCCACTGACAGTCGGCGGCGCCCTTTGGCCAGGTCTTCGCTCTCCACTCATTCAGCGGGGCTGCCTTATCATACTATTGACAGTCGGTGACGCTGTTCCATCTGGTGGTCGTGAGTAAAAACAGCCTTCCAAGTGGGCAACGCTGGGCGATCTGCCGTGCTTTTGCTTCAAACCGTTGCTCCCTTGCTGGACCATCAAGCCGACAGATCCGCTGCCTCTTGTGACCGTTGAAAGTTTGAAACATTCGAAAGTCTGAAAGTTTGGAAACTGCGAAGGATTTGAGAGCTTGAAACTTTTGAAAGTTTGAAACTAGAGCCGCAACTTTCTCCAAAATATCAGCCCGCAGCCCAGCCTGCCCCGCCTAGCTAGTCACTAGCTCGCAAAATCCCGCTATGCTGCAATGCTGCTTCACAATTAACCCGCGATAACTAATTTGCTGCAGTATGCATTCTATCGTTTCACCTTACTTTTAGACCTGAACATTCAAGTGTGCATACAATGAAGCGCAAGTGTCATCTAATGCATAACATTGTTCGGCTAACATCGGCGATGTTGTTCAGAGTGCAGCCGTCTCAGTACCTGCACAATGGAATTTTGAACGCACCAAAGTAGATATTAGGCAGGGTAAAGGAGTTTTTCAACCACAAATGAGAAATAAGAGGGTAGAAATTAAATTGCACGAAAATGCTCCAAAGAAATTGTCACTCTACCTAAAATCAATAAACCACAGACCATTAAAAAAAGAAGCATGTATCAATAGATAAATTTGCTCTTTGCAATAATGAGTAAAATATGCTGGATGCTTCAATTCACTGGGGGTGCCAGATCATTACAGTGCATACAGTTACAGTACAGTGCAGTACAGTGCATAAACTCATTTATTTTTTGACTGCATCACAATAGCCATAATGATGCCTGCCAAATGAAATCCCATTGAAGAACCAGAGCCCTACATATTGTTTGATGTTCTTAGGTGGATACATTATGCAACCACATCTCATAAAACCCACGTAATAACTTTGAAATTATTCACATTTCTCTCTCACTACCGTCCACGCCCCATCCCACAACCAGTGCCGCGCCGCTTGATACGGCTTGAAAGTAAAGATAGCAGTAATATGTTGTCCACGAATATTTGTTCATCTAGTGACGTCATTCACCTTTAACGATGTCATCAAAACCGTGACAAATTGCTGCATACTGCAGAAAAACTTCACGAAAACCAAAAACAAACTGTAGAAATTGTTTACAAAAACTCTTAGTTATTAAGGCTTCTGGACTGCATCTTTTGATCTTCATCAAATGCCTCATCGACGTCATATGTTGAAATTTGTTCTCAAAAACTATCTGCGGCTCCCAATAGTGGAAAAAGCTCACAAATCAAACGGGACGCAATCCGTCGTAGAAAACACTTTGAAAAATAGTCACAATCGTAGTAAGGAAATCCGTGTTGTGTAATTGCCCTGACACTGTGGTCGCAAATTGCATTTTCTTCAGACATAGATAGACTAGTTCTATGCCACCACTTCCACTTTGGACAACTGTTGCGCATTTTATACGCCAATAACTGCTGGCTGTATTGACATGTGAGGGGAGGTAGGGCAATGAAAGGCTCGCAGCCTCCCATGAGTTTAATTAATTTTATTAAGTGATTGCGATTTATCAGGCATGGTTTTGTGCAAACCGAGAAAGGCTGGGTGCTCCACACCCTCACAACAGCAACCAAGTGCAGCGCAAAGTTGTATTTATAAAAATGACCGCCTAGCTGCTGCTTAATGAAACCAGGCCCTAGTTTTAAGAAATTGGGTTGTTTTTCTCAAATGTTCCAGTGAGATGATTGCTTAAAGCTGTTTAATTTATGTTATCTGGTATTCTGGTGTCTCATGTCCACGACAGGTTTTCTGTCACCGATGCTCGTCCTGTAAAAATATGTTTGTTTCATGACTGCTTTGCATTTAGCAGCATAATCTGGCTTTGGAGAGATTCAAAACTTACGGAATAGCGAAAAGTATACATTATTTTGCCTGAGAAAAGTTTGACCCGGAAAAGCCCAAAAGGTCTTGCCCATGACCCAGCCAGAAGCCCACGATTTCATGCAGATCAAAAATTGTCGAGCTGGCGGGCTAAAAATTGTGTCTTTATTTGAAATATTGTAGCGTTTAAAGCTTCTGAAAGCTTGAAAGTTTAAACAGTTTGAAAGCTTTGAAAACTTTAAACGTTTTGAAAGTGTTAAAAATTTTCAAGTTTTGCAGGTTTGAGCATTTTGAAAGCTTTCAAGTTTTAAAAGTTTGAATACTGAAAGTTTTAAAGGCTCAAAACGTTTGAAAGTAGAAAGTTCTTAGGTTGACATATTTTAGAAATTGAAAGCCTTGAAAGTATAAAGGTTTTGAAACTTAAAAGTTTTGAAGGTTAAGGTTTTTAAAATTCAGGTTTTGAAAGCTGAAAAGTTTGAAAATTTAACGGTTTTGGAAGTTCACAAGTTTTGTAAATTTAATAGCCTTGAAAATTGCAAAGTTCTGAATGTTTGAAAGTCTGAAAGTTTTGAAGGCTTGAAAGTGTGACCACTTGTGACCGTTACAGCGATGAGAACCCGCTGCCCGGTTTCCCGGCTTTCAGACCTCGCATTTTTGGCCGCGTAGCCATAACGCCCGCTAACATATTGCTCCACAGTACGCCAACCCACACAGGTGCCGTGTCGACACGGGACACCGTTGCACAGTGGCGGATTTCACGCGTTCGACTGACGATGGTTGTTTTTGTGGGAAGTTTTGCAGTGTTTTTGCTGTGTTGGGTCGTCTTTTGCAGTGTTTTTGCTGTGTTGGGGCGTCTTTTGCATATGCGGTGGTTTGGCCGGCAGTTGAGCTGGCCTTGGTCTGCTTGGACTCAGTTTGTGACTGGCTTGAATATTTCTGTCTGCCTTGACTGAGTCCTGAGTCCTGAGTCCTGAGTCCTGAGTCCTGAGTCTCGAGTCCTGCGTCCGGATACACCTGTGTACCCGGCCGTTGGTTTACAGTTTACACCACGTGTCCTCATTCGAAATCGCCATAATTCTGTTCGTTTTCTGTCCGCCAGGTGTTTGTATTGCTGCAGTTTGACCCAGGCATGGAGTACATCCCGAACCGAGGCGGCGGGCTCGGCCCTGCCAAGAGGTCCCAGTGCTGGCCGACGCCTGGCGCTGCTGCCCCGGGACCAGCCCGGCACTGACCGCAGAGGATGACCGACAGGTCACCGGCCTCGGTCATCGGTCAGCTCGTGACATGACCTCCGGTGGCGTATCAGAACGGTGTTAGAGACGGCAAGAACGAAAAGCGTTTCACCATGTAACGAGTGCCCAGTGGCATGTCTTTTGGTCGCATGTTGTTGTGTGAACAGAGAGCGTGTTATGACTGATTTGAGCGCTTCATTTTGTGATGGACGTCGATAGAAGTGACCGTGAAAGGACTGTTTTAAGTGAGAAAGCACATCTGCTATGCCATCTGATTACTGGCCTTGTTATAACCCCGCCATGACACCGCAAGATTCACTTTGCAAAACGAGGTTAGTGTGGAGCCTTCAAGTTACTTCATCTTGTGAACGTGCATTCTCTCACTAACGTATCATCGCATGGTTTTTCATCGCATGACTTCATGCCCTGCCATGGACCTTCGTCATGTTCCCAGGTCCATGGCGTTTCGAGATGTAGGACCGTGCAGACCGAGGTGCTAGGTTTCACAATATCCTGTTTGGATCGAGTGGCCTGCTGTCTTGATTCTAGACGCGCGATTGGATGGCCAGAAACAGGCTGCAGATGGCGTACGTTATGGTACATCCGGTGCCTCTGAAAATGACGTCACGACGGCGGTCACGTAGTGTTGCAGCGGCCACGTAACCGATACCGTGTCTGTGTTGATGCCACCTTGGTCAGATATCACCACTTCATGGGACCAGCACCGTCGCACCGTTCGCCGCCACGTGACCAGTTCCTCCGAGCCTCGCAGTGCGCAAAGTATCACGATCAGCCACGTGACCAGTCCCTCCGGCCCTCGCAGTGCGCAAAGTCTGACGATCAGCCACGTGACCAGTTCCCTCCGGCCCTCGCAGTGCGCAAAGTCTGACGATCAGCCACGTGACCAGTTCCTCCGGCCCTCGCAGTGCGCAAAGTCTGACGATCAGCCACGTGACCAGTCCCTCCGGCCCTCGCAGTGCGCAAAGTCTGACGATCAGCCACGTGACCAGTTCCCCCGGCCCTCTCAGTGCGCAAAGTCTGACGATCAGCCACGTGACCAGTTCCTCCGGCCCTCGCCGTGCGCAAAGTCTCACGATCAGCCAGGCGTCAAACAAAGAGACAGCACGGAACGAAGTAAGCGACGTTCGCATATGCGGTTGACTTTATACTTGTAGGATAGTACGCGCTCTTCGGTCAATATGTGGATTGGTCCTTAAGGTCGGATCATTCACAAAGCACGCCTGTTGAGAACCGAGCCGCGCCTGCTCGTAGTCCTTATTCGCCCTGTGACACGTAGCATTGCCCTTGGTTCGCGTCTTTCTGACATGGCTCGCACGGCCTTGACGCTGGCAGCGTGCGCGTGACGTAGATGGCGTGGTCTGGAAGCTGGCCATGGTCTGGATGGTCTGGGCCATGGTCTGGGCCATGGTCTGGGCCATGGTCTGGGCCACGCAGGGAGACGCTCGTCCTTGATCTTGAGCAATCATTCCGTGGGCGCGCGTGCGCGTGTGTGCGTGTGAAGGGGTCGGGATCACTGCTGGCTTGTTGCGCACGGTGCTGCCACCTGTCATTCGTCGCTCTCATCGAATACATTATTTTAAGGACACCGAAGCGTTACATGCCGCGTTTGCCCGTAAACTGCAGGCGCAGACGGGCCGACGTCTCCACGGTGCCGACGACGTCTGGTGCGAGTTGATCTACTACATCCGTCCCAGGCTTAAGTTAGCCAGACTTCAACTGAGACCAGACCTGACGTTCCGGACCTTAAAGCCGATGCCAGGCACGTCTGGTCGCGCCCACACGTCAGTCGCAAACGTGCCTATTTTAGCGTTGAAACGAGGTGCTCGCTGCAAGTTGAGACATTATTTCCTATATTGTGATTCCCCCCCATCTTTACTAGGGGTTCTCGTGTCTGGTGAGAGGAATGGAGGTGATTATATGGTGCTACCTTGCGTTTCTTGGTCGTAAACTGCTGTTGTATCATTTTGTAACCTCATGCAACGATCTCAAAAGTGTTATTTAGTGCCTTGCGAGGTCATTGGCAGCCGCTCTAAAGCTCCGCCCGGCTTCACTACTCCCCAAAACGCTACAACATCCTACAACCCTTCCAACAGTTAATAAATTGCACCAATAGGGGAATTCAATCTTCCGAAGCCATTGGTGACGGTAACAGCGTTCCTTTGGAATTAATTTTGCCGTTATTATCACGCGCCCGGGTGGCCGGCTGGATGCCCCTCCCTCGGGTTGGGGTCAGTTTTACCCTTGAGATCTCAGGAAGTAGGAGAGATAGAAATAATAAATGCAAAGAGTGTGTTGGTCTGCATGTGAACTCGCTTGGGCCAAACTTCTAGCTTCCTAGGTCATAAACTGTGGGTCAAATATGTCTAAACAGGGTCAAACTCCAGGCTGGTGTTCAAAGGGCCCTCATAATCTAGATACCTGTTCTAAGCATAAGTAATCCAAAAACCATTTAAGGTTAGTGACCCTGTTTTACCTTATGAAGGTCATGGTGACCAAAATTATACAAGACTGCCTCGAGTTTTATATCTGAATAGGCAACAAAAATAACGCTAGCTAGCATGCTTCAAAAACAACATGTTGACCTGGGTCGTTTTAGGTCAGTGACCTATTCCGACCTTTAAAAGTGCATGAAAGATAACAATGTGGTTTCTGTTATCAATGAACCCGAAATAAATACCAGAACTACCCCGTAGAGCAAACCCTGGAGCAACAAGACAGGCTGGTTGTGAACTTGGCCTGACCTTCATACCTGACCCTAAGTCAATGTAATTTGCCCATTTAATTGTTGTGTTCTGAATTCACATTATGTGTGTTATGTGTCGTATTGCATTAACACTGTAGTAATTACCTGCTGTAACACATTGTGTCGCCGAACCCATGGCCAGCCGGCCCCCGGGCGCGTGTTAATAACAGCAAAATGAACTCCAAAGGAACGCTGTGACCGTCACCAATGGCTTCGGAAGATTGAATTCCCCTAATGCTGCAATTTATTAAGGGCCTAAGAAACTATCTCAGAGGTGTACGGTTTCGTCTGACACTCCGTTGTTGCATCAGATTGAACGATTCCCTAGAAATTGACTGCGCCGAATCCATGGCCTGATTTGGACCTGCCGTGGATCAGCCACCTTTTACGGTACATTTGAAATTTCTGGCACCAAATGATTTGCTACTCAATTGTCTACAGCGATGCAAAATTGGCGCTACTCCACCGCGCCATTCTGACGTCATCCCGGAAAACCTTGGGGGAGGGGGCGGTCAAATTGACACCCACTCTAGCGCGTGATAATGGATGCAACGTTCCGTAATATTTTACAATAATTTTGAAAGTTGGCTTCCGGAGCTTGCGATAATCTTGCGAGGTCGTGATGATGTATGCTTCCTTTCTTCATATTGACCTTTTGCTGGCCTTTTTTACCTTCGTTGACCTTTTGATTCGACCTAAGATCACCATTGTCCGGAGAGGGATTGGTGACCGTTCTGTGAGTCCAGCTGCCGGCTGCACTTGCTCAGGTTGTCCAATTCTGCATCAAGACGGGGTGTTCGTACTGCGCTCCGAGTACCCCCATTTTCTATCCTTTAATCAAGTGCACCGGCTACCCCACAGGCCGGGACCTGGGTTTTATGTCGTGTTCATCCCGCCCAGGATGGTCGCACCAGGATTTCAAAGTGAGTACGCCGCTCTTGGGACGTATGCCAAAGACGTACTCTGGTGAAACCTCACTACCAGTTTTATCTAATGATGTTATATCAAGAGAGTCATTATGTCTACCAACAAGATGCATAATGTGATCGGAAGAGACCTGCCATGGCGCTTGACTAAACAACGGCTTTTGTGGACATCTTTCCCAAACATCGTCCCCTGGCACTGCTCTCATTCGTTTTTCATTGGCTGGCGGGGTCTTGCGAATTACCGTGAAGGCGATCGCCAATTAGACAGTCAAAGTGGAGGCATGAAGAAGAGCCTTATAGTTATGAGATGTGTGTGACATTCGGGCCTGTCATGCAGTGATGCTGTGTCTCCGATTCGTCGGTGTTTCTCGTCGCTGTCGAATCATTCGTCGTCGCTGTCGCCGTCGTCGCGGGCCGCACACTACCGCATGCCGAGCCCGCTTTGTCCAGCCGAACCCAGCCGAAGCACACCATCCTGGTACACCTGCTACAAGAGACATAAACGTCCAACACGGAACCCGCCTACATGTCTCCCACCTGCGCTGACCACATCACATCCAGTGACGCCTGGGCAGGAACAGTGTGCGGAGCGACGGGCCACGCGCTCCGACACAGACAGTACAACGGTTTTAGCTGACGTTAGATTCTGTCCTGGAAGCAGACCTACGTGTACTTTATCGGACGTCCATGAAATTTTCGGCAAAGCTGAACGAGGCGAGCAGGGATGCAGGCGTGAAAAAATTGGTAACCAGAAACCCGGCGCGACCAGGACATGAATCCATGTCAGAACGAATCCATCAGATCCGAATCGGGAAGGCGGCGTTTTGTTTACTCCACCGTGACCGCCTACAGCGCACTACCGCAGAATAGTCGCGAGCTGAGCCCTCCACAATTCAAACCCGACTGCCTAGTTATGTCCTGCAGCGGCGGATCAATAACGGATAGCGACGCCTACTTCAAATGACTTTAGCAAAGGTGAGGGAGTTCGCTCTGCGTATGTGTGCCTGCGTGTGTACGTGTTTGCGCGAGCCTCCCTGACCTACAGTGTCTTATTTCAATGGCATGGGCTCTGTAATAGCCACAGTCTGAATGGAGTGAGCTTATGACATGTGATAAATAAATAAATACATGTCCCCATGTCGCAGTTGCCTAGAGCATGAAATGCTCGTTCATTACGATTTTATTTGCAACCTTTACTTTGCTGTATTTTTTTGAAATTGTCTGCAACCAATTTTCGTGGTTTTGGGTCTCTTTGGTGACTTTTGACCTGACCCAGGGAAATGATCTGGAAAAGATAGGATTTCGACTACGGTGCATCGATTGGTGAAGCTTCTATGCTGATTGGTGCCACAAGCTCGGCTTGGAGCGCTGACGTTGTCTGCATCCCAATTTTCCGGATTTTGGATATTTACAGTGACCTTTGACGTGACCTACAACATTTGACGTCAGCATGTTCTGGGAAGGATAAGATATTGACTATGACACATCAATTGGTGAGGGTCTCATGACCAATCGGTGCAATAGGCTTGGAGCAAGGAGTTATCAACGGGTTTGGTCGGCCGTTTAGTGCCTCCCTTGTGAGGACTGTAGTCTGGTACAAGAACAAGATGTGTGCATTGGCTTTGTGGTCGCAAACACCGAATTAATTCTCTGTTGAATGCTGATGGCTACTGATGCTTCTTCATTGCTCGTAAGATAAACACACGCGCGACAGACATACGGGCATTAATATGTGTTGTCAATTACAAAATTGCTTCGGAATATGATAAAAAGCGACGCTGGTGATAACTAACATCAAATCTGAAGGAATTATAGAGCAAAAATCAAAAATAGTTCCGTGAGGGACGATTTTCTGGAGCACCACTTTTCTGCTCTGGCGATAGTAGCGCCACCTATATCGCCCATATTTCTGAAGTTAACTATGATGTTTTATGATTCTGGTAAGGGCTGAAAACGATCATGAAACCATCTTTTTGGATAGACTGCTGATTACAGATGGGAAATAACACGGACTGCAAGCTAAAGCTGTATTCAGCGCTTCTCAAGATCTTAATCAGATTTACAAAGGCAAAAACCCGCATATTCACTCCAGTTCAAAGTACGGTAACTCCTGACGCCAGTTCAGCTGAGCTCGGCATTGGCAGACAGAAGACAGGTGTTGGTAACGGAACGGGCGAGGTTGTGGCGGTGGAGCAGGACGGACAGGTCACTGCTACTCGTCGACAGGCCGCGGTCGTCCCGGCCGATGTGGACTAGAAAGAGTGTGGAAACGCTTAGGTACGAGGTTAGGTCTCCGTGGGATGAATGACTTGTTTTTTTTAGAAAAGGGTTGTGTTAGAACACAATTAAGATATGGACTATAATGAAATAGGTTTCGAGGCAGGACTGCATCCGCACGCTGATGAGAAGGCTTCTGATGACTCACGAGAACTTAAAGCATCTGTAAAATGTGTAAAATCGTGATAATCTGGTTTTTCACGTAAATCTTAGTATGCCACAATGACAAGTAAATCGATGAAAGAGATGAGTTGCAATGTATGCATACTGCTCAGTTCTTTTGTAGTTATTTGGGTCTGCTGAGATAAACTTGAAATTTGTGATATATCTACTATCGAAGGACGATAGTGGTCCCACGTAACAGAGGGATGTAAGTCCTGCTTCGAGGCGAAGGCCGGGATGATGTTCCGTTGTTTCAGCCTCGCTGTGAAGAGGCCGTGCCTCGACTTCTCCCCGAGCACCGAAGAGCAGACTTCCGTCACCGTGTTGACGGCCCTCTCCACGGCCTGGGTGTGCACCGAATACAGCGGGAGCGAGGCTGAATCTTTGACGACCTCCTGTAAGCTCTCATTACTGAGGTCTCCAAGCAGCGGTGGTTCGTTCACCCCACTGAGCTCCCGTTGGTGAGATCCGTGTTCCCTTCAGTTCCGAAGCTGTCATCAGGAAGATTGAAGCGCCTGTCGGCCTGCGTCACACGCAGGCGCGCAGCACGAACGACTTGGGCCGTTTTCTCTCGTGTCTGCCGGCTATCGTTGGAGGCCATGGCCAGCAGCAGCTGCTCGGGGTGGGCCCAGTAGCCGTTTCTCAGCAGCACCGGCCAGACGATGGATTAGCTGCTCGGCAACTGCAAGCAGAACAGCTCAACGCTGAGATGCAGGGTCTTGGCGTCGGAATTGTAGCCGCTGTTCTGGCGCACCGTGAACCAGGCTGGGACGTAGTGGGCCGCGATGAAGTTAGCCACTTGTTTTAGCTCAGCAGATGGAGATTCGGCCGCTATGTACAGCCGCAGGTGGCGCACGGCCATCGTCAGCCACCTGCAAAACAATGAATTCATGCTGCCGTATGCGTGTATGTCGTGCAATGTGCTAGAACGGGCCGTCCATTAATGATGCTACGTAAAAGTTATCATTTTTATCCCCTTCCCTTGTCACACTGAACAGTATCCCCTGTCATGATTGCAGTATACGAAGAATACCCTTCATCAACAAATCAGGTTCAAGGCATTTTACCAAGAAACCATCAAAAGTTTGTTGCCGATGATTTTGGCTTCAAGACGTAGTGCTACACTAACCAAGGTGCCAACATCCCCCCCCCCTCCCTTGCGCCACAATTCGTAACGCTGTGGATGACCCCTACCTACTCTCTCCCGTGAAACGTAACTAATGGACGGTCCCTAACGTGCAGTGTACAGTCTGCAGAGTACATCTTCCCTCACGATCTCAAACGAGAAAAGTCATTGAACAAAGCACATCATTCAAGACATCCTTTGTTCATTTGGACGAGGTGTTTTTAGTACTTTGTAGCAATTGGGAACATTATTGAACGATTAATGCACGAGTGTCCATTTGTATTCTTTTGTGAGGGTCCTCCCCCCCCCCCCAATGAGATGACCCCATAATGGTTTGGGCCCCCGATGTTTCCGACCGGAATGCTACAAAAAACTTAAAAGATGGCCACAAGAAAAAGACTATCTCCTTTAATCTTTTTCTTTAGTGGCGTCTCGTGCTACTCTCATAACATAAAGTCACGGTCACTCTTACCACCAGAAACAAATCGCAACATCTAAGCGAAAAAACGATGCAACAAGCTTCTCATGGCTAGAGTCATAAGACACGCATTGCCTTTTAAGGTTTAAGCGAAAAGCTCTGGAATATGAGATGACCAAAATCCTTCATGGCTAATCCCGTTCTCGTCCGCCACAACCAGAATGCGTGCCGCCTCCCATGACAGCCATAGGAGAGCTACATCAACGCCCTAAAGTGGCCTCTAAACGGGCGCCTTCGCTTGCTGATGGGAAGATGAGCGTGCGTGCAGTGTCTGCTCTCTGCATCTAACCCTGCATGACTTCTATGCTGCTCAAATTAGAGACTTCTGATAAATTATACAAATATTTAAAGCATATATAGCCTTTAACCACAATAAAGTGGGCTAGACCTTGTAAGAAAAAAATGGGGTGGTAGGTTGTAGGGGCTTCGGTTTGGTCCCCAATGATTTACAAAAATTGATACCCCTAGACTGATGCATTGTTAGCGATATCGAATAAAACACATTCCAGCCTTCACTTCACTTACCTAGCGTGGTTCAGTGTTCCTTTTCTTGTGCTGTCTGTCGGGTCCGGGACGATGCCGTTTTGGATGGCACGGGCCAGGCGCTACAGCTGCTCCTCTTCTTCTGCTGGCTGTCCGGTCCGGGACGGTGCCGTTTTGGACGGCATGAGCCAGGTGGTACAGCTGCTCCTGGTCGTGACTGAGCTGTCGCACCACAGCGTGTGGGATTTCTTCCACGAACCCAGCGACGGCATCAAATGCGACCATCTTACTCCGCCACACATCGGTGGTATACTTTTTGCCGGCGGGTTCTGTAAAAGACCGTGGCCCGGAGGTGGTCCCATCCAGGGTAAGCAGAACATATCGCGGGTTCAGTACATCGGCATGTAACTGGCAGGTGAACTACTTAACTGGAGCTTCGGATACGGGCTCGAAGAGTCGACGCACTCTGCCGGTCGCGCTAGTGTTCGCGGCCGTCCCACCACAGCCCAAGACCTTCACTCCTCCGTCGAAGACTGTAGACTGGTCGAGTATAGCTCGTTCAGCAGGTCGATGGATGTTCCAGACTGCGGGGTGAAATGCGTCACACGCCTCTCTCCCGGCTCCGTGGCGAGGATGACGTGCTTTTCAGTTTTAGTAATGGCCTCGGTCCACGCGTGCTTTGCCTTTCTGTCGATCGAAGAATAACCTAACAAATGCCGACGCCAAGATGTCGTCTGCGTTCTCGCGTGCCGCTCCTTGCTTTACGAGGGTCCTTGTCCGCCAGATCTTTTTCGACTCGACAACGCGGGATCCATCTTGCTGATCTATCTTGTGAGCTTGGACGACCGATTTCCTGCTGAAATGTATTCGTGGTCGTGGCGGCGAACCAGGGAGTTGTCGACAGGGAGTTGTCCCAGGGAGTTGTCAGTCGACAGGGAGTTGTCTGCCTCTCCCACGGGGTCATCCACACTCGCATTGTCGTCCCTGTCGAAGCTGCAAGTGGTGTTGCTTAGTCCAGGTGCAGGATCAGCCGCCTGCCGCTGATGATGGATTTGTCGGGACTCTCTTCTTTGAAGGAGCGCCTCCCTTACTGCAGTCTCTACCCTGTCATCGACGGCTCCCAGAATGAGGTTCCGCTGGCTATTGTGATGCTTCAAAACTGCCCGTTCTTCCGCCGGAATTGTGTTGGGTACTAGTCAAGTACATGTTGCTGAGAGCGGCACTTGCACATGGCGATGTCAGTTTGGTAAAGAAGGCCTTGCTCATTTTTTCACTCCCCTTCCTCTTTCTCGATTCCTTAGGATTTTAGCCCGTCTTTCTAAGTGCATGGCATCTCACTACTTTGACACGTTCGGAGACGTAGTATGGGTCGTGAGTTGGAATACCCTCATTAGCCCAGACTTTGATGACCTGTGCAGCTACGTAACGGAAGATGGTTGAATCCGGTGATTTCCACTACACAACTCACTTGCCTTGCGCTAACGATCTCAAGTGATTCATAACATCGCCTCTCGTTGGTAGCTGTGTATTCTGTAGCGAGGTTGGCTGACCTAGCATGATATGGTGAGTCCGCGAATGCGTTAAATACATTTTCCTCTTAACTATCCGCGCTTCCATGAACTTTTCGTCAGATCAGTTCTCCGAAATACTTATTACCTTCCAAATGTCCACGCTTATTCGGTAAAAGTTTTTTATGTTTGAACGATTTTAGCAGCAGTGATATCCGAATGTATGTAATGATATGTTCCATAGAACCAGGTGGTTGTAAGTATTTTATGCTATGAAAAAATATAAGTACATTGTAGACAAATACTACCAAAACAAACACAAGACTGCAATTTTGCTGTGGAATATATCATAGCACCTCCGAAATAGTGAAATTCGGTCGGCGACCAGTACAATCGCAAGGCATTTTAGTTGGCGCTGAGATCAAAATGGGTACTTCTAGGTAAACGAGAAAAGGTCGCTCTAGCCCAACAAAAACACATAGCTGTGCATTTGTTTTTATGTTAATCAACTTTCCAGCATGCTGTTCCACGACAAATCACATTCCAAATATAATCTGAGAGAAAACCCTATATGGTGACACACCCTAACGGACGTGTATGCGTGTGTGCGCATAAACTCATGCACGTGCCTTCTTTTAACCGATAATATGTTGGTGCTCAAAATTGACAGCTTAAGTAGGCACCAAACTGTTCGTCTTTGGGCCTCTTCGGCGTGGGGCGGCTACAGGTCTGCCTTCCGGTTGCATCGGTGGTGGCATGATGATGTTTGGGGCTCTTACGAGCGCACGGGCTTCTATGGTCATTTCACGTTCTAAGGTCATTCAAAGTGTTTTCGGTGGTAGCACCGGTATGCGGCGATGCTCTTCGCACATCTTCGAAGACATACGTCCGTAGAAATTTACATATTCGTCCAAAGAAAAAGACGAAAGCTTTGAAAGCCAACATTTATTCACACCGAAACCTCTCGGAAACTTGAGGTCATCTAAAGGTAACCTCGACCATAAGGGAAGGACAGAGAAGTGTTTTGAACACCACACAATGCAATATTGGTCATTTTAAGCTCGTCATGCTGTCGTGCATCATCATATGCACATTCAGTTATCTTATCTGAGGCAGGAGATCGATGATTAATGTAATCACCAAACACCATCACTGTACGAAAAACCCCTTTACTAAACCGCGAAATGCCAATCGTAGCGAAAAACGCGAGGCACGCGCACCGAACACCTGAACACTATCCCGGAAACCGAAAGCAAAAACCCAAAACCCTCTTAAAGCCTGGCGAAGAAGGAGTCTGACGTCTGACGTCTGACGTCTGACGTCTGACGTCCGTCAAGCGCACCCGCCGTCTCAGTCGTCAGACCTCCAAGCGCGCAGGTTCATGCTCGGCAAGCTCCCGCACGCCGTGATGCTATTGCCGATGCCGGCCGACCGGAAGGCACTGGGCTGGATCCTGACGATGCTTCTGACGTTGTCGCAGAGTATGCGGGCCCACGTCACCTTGCGCACCTGGTTCAGCTGGGCGCGCGTAAAGCTCCACGGCCGGTCGCCGAGGTCGTAGAAGAAGTTGTCTCCCCAGCGTAGCCGTGCAAACTGGTCGCCGACGATGCAGCGGATGGTCGGACCGACCGCCGCGCCTGGCACCGGCCGCTCGGACACGGCGCCGACGAACAGGTCGATGTCGTCGACGTGCGCGTACACGCTGCGGAGGCGGCGCACGACATCGGTCGGCATCTGTCGCTGCAGCTGCCTGAAGCTCGAGACACGTGGCAGGCCGCACCGCGAGCGCATGGTGTTGTAGGAGGCGATGCCGAGGTCGCGGCCTCTCTGCACGTTCAGAGCGATGAGGTCGAGCCCGAAGGTGTGGCCCTTCGGCTGGAAGAGGAATTCAGTCAGATCCTCGGCGATGCTGGCGTCGCACGTCTGTGGGTGTTGCTTGATCATGCCGATGGCGATCTGGTCCAGCTGGCCGTCGTAGAGCAGCGCCGGGTCGAGGAACACGTCGCGCAGGTTGATGCGCAGGCTGACCGAGGAGCTGGCGACGCGCCGGTACAGCTCAAGATGGCCCTGGATCAGTGTGTGGCCCACGCGGAACGCGGCCGTCGAAAACTCGGTGGCGATGCTGGGGTTGACACGATTCGAGTAGCGGCGTGAAAAGCCCCGTCTCTGCGTGCCCATACGCATGCGCCGCATGAATGCCTCGCCTACCAGCAGCGGCAGCCACTCGTTGTACGTGATGTGCTGGATCTCGGCGCCGAGGATGCGGCGCGCCTCCTGGAAGAGCTGCTCGTCGTCCCATTCGGGGTTGACGCGCTCCAGGCGGCGTGCTAGTCGGTTGTGCTCACGCATCCAGATAGTGTGCACCGTGGCGAGGCCGCTCTGCTCCGTGGCGCGCACGTCGCCGGCCAGGAAGCAGGGCCGTCCCTCCGGGTCGGGGCTGAGGCAGGGCAGCTCCGTGTCGATCTGGACGCCGGGAGGGTCGCGCGGCAGCAGTGCGCCTTCCTGCATCAGTAGACGGCCACCCTCCCCGGCGCGCACCTGCGCCGCGCGCGACTCGTGAGGCCCGTACACGCCGCTGCCGTCGATGAAGGCGGTGAGCAAGTTCACGGTGATGGCTGGGCCGGGAGAGCAGTCGGTCGGCATGGCCGGCACCGAGCGCGTGAACTCCATGCAGCGCTGGCCCAACGGCCCGTAGAACGGGTCGTCTTCTGGCACGGCGATCGGCAGGCAGCGTGGGTGCGCGTCGTCAGCGACGACGCCATCGGCGCAGCAGCGGATCCTGACGCCTGGCGCGGCGAGCTGCACCGGCGAAAACGTTATGTCGTGGTCCATGAACTGGCCCCAGTGGACGAAACAGAGCGTGAGCGCCGCATTCTCCGCGTCGGTGCTATCGGTGACCCCGGCGCTGACCCTGCGCGCCGACGGCAGCGCGCCGCCCGCCGCCGACACGCTGCGCGGCGCGTCGACGCCGTCATCGTACGTGTTAGCGGCGAGACGTACGATCGCTGTGTCGGAGGCGCCCCAGGCTGGGTGCCGCCGGTTGTTGCAGGCGCCGTCCTGGCGCCGGTACCGCGCATCATCAAAGTCGCAGCTAGGCTCCGAGTCATCCGGGCACTCAATGTCATCGTCACGCGCGGCGCTGAGGTTGGCCGGCGCTCGCGCCGCCTCCACCCAGACAAGCGCCTCGCGCGCCAGCGTCTGCACGCGTGCGTTCGAGTCGTGGCGCGACATGTGGTAGTGCGAGCGGCGGCCCGGATGGTGCGGCGCTTTGGCCGCCGTCGCGGTCGGGTGCGCGGCCAGCCGGCCCCTTGCCCAGCTCAGCGCCGCCGCCAGCCGGTCGGGCGGCATCGCCACCGTCTCACGCTCCAGCACCGTCAGAAACGGCGGCAGCTCCGGCTCGGTGTCCGCGGCGACCGTCAGTAACACCGGCATCATCTGTGGAAGGGACGGACCGCACCACATCGAATTGGACGGACGGCATCGCATTGAATTGGACGGGCCGCATCACATTGAATTGGACGGACGGCATCGCATCGAACGGACTGCATCCCATCGCATCAGATGAAACATAATAAGCCACATAACGCATCGTATCGGACGGAAGGCATCGCATCGTAAGAGACGGCCTGAATCGCATCATAAGGGATGGACCGCATCGCATCACTAGGGACAGTCCGCAACGCATCGCATCGCGGATTTGTCAAAGAACAGACGGCTACATTATACTCAGTCATCATGTGCGCAAAATCACGCGGCGTCGTCGCCATTCAGAAGCCAGTCCGCTGCAGATTCGTTCTCAGGTTCCAGCGGCGTGTATCGGCTTCGGAGGCTGCGTACGGTACGGCGCATATGCATACGTTCCACTGCATGCTGTAAGGTCAGGGTGGCGCTGCAGACGAAGCTTCTGTTCTTCAAGCGGCAACAAGCGTGACTCATCCTTGGAGCGGTGTTGGGTATGTCACTACGAATAGAGAGCGATACTCCTGCCCTAGAATGAGTTAAACGTCAGTAAAAGCCCACTATTCACAGGCCGGCACCATGGTAATCGCAGTGAGCATACTGGTGCGGCCGCGTGTGGCAGGAAGTTGTCAACAACACGCTGTGCACTGTGGCCTGACTGATATCAGCGTTGGGTGCGTCCTATGTAGTCAGGTGCTACGCCTCGAACGCCAGCAAAATGCGGCCTCCTGAAAGGTGGTGAACTGTTGCAGGAAGTCGGAAAAGGTGTCAAGACTGGTGCAGCCATACCAAACTACCGTAATAAAAACTGGTGTAGCCATATCAATCTACCCTCAAAAAAGCTCGTGCAGACATACCAAACTACCGTAATAGAAGCTGGTGCAGTCGTACCAAGCTACTCTCGTAGAAACTAGTGCAGTAGTACCAAACTACCTTCATTAGAAATTGGTGTCATACGAAGCTACCCTCATAGAAACTGGTGCAGTCATACCAAGATACCCTCATAGAAACTAGTGACTGATAGAAACTAGCTAAACAGCCATACCCAACTACTCTCATGCAAACTGGTGCAGCCATACCAAACTACTCTCATACAAACTGGTGCAGCCATACCAAACTACCTTCATAGAAGCTGGTGGTCGTACCAAGCTGCCCTCATAACAAACTGGTGCAGTCATATCAATATACCTTGACAGAAACCAGTGCAGTGATACCCAGCTATCCTAATACAAACAAGTGCAGCCACATTAAACTATCTTCATACACACTGATGCAGCCATACCAAACTACCCTCAAACAAACTGGTGCAGTCATACCAGACTGCCATCATACAAACTGGTGCAGCCATACCAAGCTAACCTCATAAAAAATAGTGCAGTATTACCAAATAACTCTCATTAGAAAGTGATGCAGTCATACCAAACTACCCACATAGAAACTAGTGCAGCCATATTAAACTATCTTCATACAAACCGGTGCAGCCATACCATACTACCCTCATAGAAACTGGTGCAGCCATACTAAGCTCTCTTCATACAGATTAGTGCAGCCACACCAAACTGCTCTCATACAAACTGGTGCAGCCATGTCAAACTACCGTCATAGAAATTGGTAAAACTAATGCTGTCGGCGGGAAGCCCTTCGCGTACATTACACACGTGCAGAGACAGCTGACGTGGCAGAGGCGTTGCAGGCTTGTCAATGTTGTCTGCTGTCGAGGTAGTATTTACTATCAATGTTGTTTGCTGGCCGGCAAATTTTAGAAGTCTCTGTAGACGGGCAATGACGTCACAGGCGACGTGTGCACCCTGTTGCTGGCGGAAATACAACACCGTTTTAAAATTGTTTGCAATCGACTGACGTGAGTAAAATTGTGTCAGTTTGAAAGCGCAGGAGCATGGCTATAAAACGACACTGGAACCTCGGGCCCACCCGCCAGCGAGCTTTTCGTTTTTTATAGTTTTTCCTATTGTAATCGTTTTTTATATTAGAACCACATTTCATATCAATGTGTGGAGGGCGGACGCCACACATATAGAACGAAAGCTATTACTGGCAGCGCATCGTCACTTTGCGACCGCACTTGGCAAACTTTATAAGCCGGATGCCTCTTTATTTAAAAAAAACTGCAACTGCCATGATCACATTACAGCAAGGAGTTTACACCCTTTGCATCAAAGTTAAAGCACTTTTCTGTCAATGTTTATGAACTTGTATTTACGCACGGGTTGAGTAACAGAACTTGCTGTTCGAGGGAGTTCCGGATCTTTGTGTCCGGTAAAGGGAGAAGGTTGGAACAAAATTTGTTCAACAAATCTCCAGCTGACTCAAGAATTAAGTACATCCGCCATTAAGAGCTAGAATATTGGCTTCCAATATGCATCTGTCGGCCTGTAATTGGATACCACGTGACGTAAGCGTTTCCACAGTTGTTGCATCTCAAGTTTAGACGAGCGCCCTGTTCAGAACGTTTGCAGCGAGCTGCCAGGGAGATGACGCCTACACTATACGAACAGCACGATTAGCTTTTTAACAAAAGAATAGCCAGTACTGATAACCGATATGAAAGCTTTCCACCGTCCGAAACTTGAACACATTATCTCTAAGCCACGGATGGCACGCATGCCAGCTGCACTAGGGAACGACGTCCGGGTTCAAGTCGCAAAACTCAAAATTCAAAATCCGTCGCGCTGCGCGGAGAAATCCCGGCTCGGTATGTTGCGGGTGCACTGTTTAGCAAGTACGAAGATCGGCTTGAAACAAAAGATCAAAGTCACTTTTGGTGTAAGCTTCAGTGAGATCTTCTGACCAGAATGGGCTGCACAGCTCACACAAGATGGCGTATTTCACACAGGAACCCAACAGGCTAGTAGCAAAAGTGCGACGCAGTGCCAGGAAGCCGCCAACTGGCTTCGACAAAGCTGCCAACTACATTTGACAGCATCTGCTTCCAGCAGTGTTCTGTGGTAGACTTTTGCGACCAACGACGTACGTGAACACAGCCTGCCGTCAATTCAACTGAGGCAAACAGGCATCAAGCATCGTGACGGAGTTAACGTGCCACGCTTCCGGTTGGCTTGGTAGAAATCAAGGCACCTAAGCGTGCCCTTAGTGCACTGCACTTACCAAATGCATCATGGATGTGCCGCTGCAAAGGTGCATTTTCAACGGACGGGAATTAGATGTGATATATCCCAGCCCAGTGGGCTTTGCTGGTCCCTCCTAATGAGTGCCACATTCAGTATTTTTGGTGGTTGTTCACTGTTTACGACTCATTTATTCTGCGTCACTTACAGAACGTTATGGGAGCGCAACAGTGTTGCTAAATATGGCCGCACTTACGGTGGTACCCTCAAATATGGCAGCATTGTTGGCCATAGCATTACGGCGAGACCAGATGGAAAACATGGCTTTCTGTCGGTAAATGTGGCTACACTGCTGCTGCCCTCCATCTAATAAGGCTGAAAATATCACATTTTGCAGAGAATGTTCGGCTTGCTAAGAATGGATTTCGACTGCGGTTTTGTAGATCTAATTTCTGTAAATTTTTAGGGTCATATTGTATGTTGCACTCATATTTTTCTATCACTGTACAGTTAGGTGTATTTTGGAGGAGCATTATTCACATAGGAAAGAAAGTAGTAATAGCCTCATTCCTGGAAAAAACACGTGAACGGATATATAGGTGCGCTGATATTAAGGCAACAAGCCTTTATTAAAACAACTGCAGAAGTGAACTCGAAATTGTCTGTCGATGATCCTGCTCGATTTTTCAGCTGTTTTGTTTTTAAAAACAGTGAGTCACAGTTTTTACAGGATACCAATTTTTAGGGATTAAATAAGGAGCAATGGCCAGCCACTGCTCCGGTACACTAAATATCTAGCTAAGAATTGCGATACGCTGAAAATATGTGTACCTGCAAACGAATTCGAGTAAACAGGCATTACGAACCACACTCCAGTCAAACATGCAAACGAGTTGAACTTAACAGGCATCACACATCACGCATCAATTATCTATGCAAACAATTTCAGTCCAACAGGCATCGTGCATCACGCGTCGGGCATCACATCGGTTCCACATGTAAACGATTTCAAGCTAGCACACATTACACATCAAGACACATCACGTTCGCATAAGCGGCCATGACGAGCCCTGTACGTTAAGGTTGGGTCGTCGGCTTTTTATAGCAACAGATTCACTTGTTTTGCTGTCTTGGTGAATCTGTGCTCTGTAGATGACTTTCAGCTCTAAAAGAGGCGAGGGATCCATACCTCCCTAAATTTCAGCATGAGCGTGCTTTGCCACATAAAATGGCCACCGAAATGGGTATTCCATGTTGTGTTTTTGGCGTCTAGCAGGCAGCAACTACTTGAAACCCAGACATGCATAAATATATGCAAGTTTATGCATAATTTTGTGTTGTGCATAAATATATGCAAGTCTGGGTTTCAAGGGATTTGCACGTAACAAACATTGTGTAGGAATTTAAGTGTAAACTGTTTAAAACCCTTGGAGGAACATCGTCTATGTCGGGCAGTCCTTGCGCCCTATTCGTTTTAGGTCTAATGAACATATGTGAGACCCTAAAAACAAAATAGGGAAGCCCCCTTTGATGATCACCTTAACAAAACACGCTCGGGCCGAAATTCAGGTAGCTATGAACCCTATGCGCCTTTTAGAGCTCAAAGTCATCGACAGACCACAGGATCACCCAGACAGGAAAATAAGTGAATATATTGTTATCAAAAGTCGACGACCAAACTTAAGCGTACAGGGCTCGTCGCGGTCGATTACGCGAACATGATATGTGCCTTGATGTGTGGTGTGTCCTAGCTTAATATCGTTAACATGTGCAAATGATGCCCGACGCGTGATGCGCGATGCCTGTTGAACTGAAATTGTTTGCATGTATAATTGATGCGTGACGTGTGATGCCTGTTTACTTCAACTCGTCTGCCCGTTTGACTGA